GTTTTCTGCATCTTTGATACTCCCGTGTGCTATGCATTCTTGTCAGTGACCTCCCTTATTATACACAGAATGTAATTATACACAGAAATGTAAGAAGATATAAAGATGTGTTCACAACCTTCAGAGAGTGAAGAGGACACACACGCACGCACACGCACACACACACACACACACTGTCTCACACAGATATACCCATTTATCAGATATCAAAGAAGGTAGTCCGAGGACCAGGATGACCAAGTAGTATAGAAGAATCAAGAGGGAGAGCAGAGTAACTCAGCATTAAGATCCAGTTCTTGGAGTTACAGTAAAACAGTGTCATCGGTGTCCCACTGAAGGATTAGGGGGTCACTGGGTGCAAGTGGATTGGGGTTGCCTGTTCTTATTCAGATATTTCGCATTAAAAAAGAAGAGGTGAGCCCCTAAGGCTTGTAGGGGAGCGAGGGTTTAGTTTTTTGTTTTTTAAAAGGAATAAGGGAAGTTGAGCATGTTTGAATGGAGAAAAAGAGAATATGGTAATGGCTAGCATGTTTATGGCTTATTATGTATAAAACATGATACTGAGGACTTTTATATCCCTGATCACATTTAATCCCTAAAAGACCCTCAAGATGAAGCTATTTCTTTTCCTATTTGAAATGAAGCTACCAGCGCTTGTATGATTTACATTATTTTGCCCAATGTCACAGAATCTGGATTTGAATTCTGACTTAGAATCTAACTATCATGCCATTATTTTCTAAAAGGAAAACAAAAACTGAAAGAACTAAATGGGCTATTTGGTAGACTAAAATCTGAAAGGAGAGTCCCGTGAAGGCAGTGAAGAGTTGTAGCCTCAGTTTAGGAATTCCGTAGAGAAGGAGCCAAGTCTTACTGTCTAGTGTTTAGCATGTTACCATCGTGGTGATATAGCCGATACAACCAAGGTGGGAGTAGTTTGTGTTTCGTATGTTAGATGACAGAACTGCCTTCCTGTGGGGTTGGTTCATTTCCAACTCTCTTAACCATCCCCCTTTGCCATCACGTAATTCAGGCTCCAGGGTATCTAGAAGACACTTCATACTCTGAACGCCCCTGAGCTATCTGGTGCTAGCACTCCCCAGCATTAAACTGTATCTCTTCATCTCTGTCATATCCTGTAATACTTGTAAGCAAAAGTTCATGGAACATTCTGGGGGCCTCAGAAAAGGCGAGCTTGGTTGCTTCACTCAGTACTTTTATTCCTCAGTCCATTCCTACTTAACAGGCAGCCATCGATCCACCATCCGTTCAATTTATTCGTTCATTCATCAGACATTAACTGCATGTTTATTCTATTATAGGTCTAAGTGCTGAGGATATTAAGATTAAAAGACATCTCTAGAGGCAAGGATGGTAATTAAAGGGTAGGTAAGGCCATGGAAGGGTTTAATATTGCTAAGGATGGGAAACATTTGAAGTGTCTGCTGGCTGGGAGTAAGAGCAACAAAGAGGAAAGACAAAAGGGAAAAAGAGACGGGATTGCTGAAGTAAGCTCCAGAAAAGAAGTGAAAAGGATGCAGTCTTCTGACTCCGGGAGGAGAGATGGTATCTAGCTTTTGATAGATAAATAGAAAGACACCTGCAGGAGTTCCCATGAGTGGCTGCCATTTTCTCTGCAAGGAAGGAAGCAAGGTCACTAAGAGTGTGCTGGTCTGGAGTTGGGTGTGGAACGTGAGGTGCTCCTTGAAGGTTTGGACCAGCTCCCTAGTGGATGAGTAGGGGCCAGAAAGGAGATGGCTGTGTATCCTAGTGGACCAAACTGTAGTAGTAACCATGAATTTGTAATAAGGCCAGGTAACACAGTTACAGGTTTCTTTCTACCAGTACTTAATTGTTAAAATAGCCGTTTATCCACTAGAGAAGTTCCTCTTTTGACTGATTCTCCGGGTCTTCTAATGAGAAAGACATTTGTCTACAAGAGTGAATATCCTTGGGCCTGAACCTTTACATTCTAACTGATATCATTCCTGACTGACTTCAAAAGGATACAGAAGACACAGTCATGGATCCTGCTAATGGGTCAGTCTGGGTTGCCCCTTGTACAGACTCAGGATGAGTCATCTTCCCTGAAGGAGAGGAAGTCAGAGCGTCTGGTGTACTCAGAGCACCTGCTCCCTCCACTGTACAGTGATGTCGGTTTCAGCCTAAGAACTTCTCCGTAGTTCATGGTTACCGAACCAGTCACGATTCCTGCTGGCAAGTGACAGAAATGAGCTCTAACTTAAGCAAACAAGGAGTTTATCAGAGGAATGTTAGGGAGCTCATAAGTTCCTCTGAAGGGTTGGACAGATAAGCCTGGAAACGAGGCAGCTGGGAGCAGTGCCCCAAATCCCACTGCAGAGCCCTTCTGGGAGAGAAGGCATGGTTGCTGGTCAGTGGCAGCGGCTCAGATCTGCTGTAACCTCTATTTCGGCCATCTTGGGAACTGGCATTTGCTTTCCAAACCACCCTCGAATGAGTTCTGTTGGGCCCAGCATCTTTGTGTCACTGGCTTCTGAGAGAGGGTCTGGAGTGGTTGGTCTGATTGACAAGGCCTAGCTCATGTGCAAATAGCTGAACTTCAGAGGAGACTGGGAAGGAGAATGTATTTTTCACCAGTGTAGTGGGCATGGGCTCTGGGGAGAGCTGCAGTGTTGAGGGGGCCATAAGGAACAGCAAATGCCTGTTACACTGTCATGAAACACACGAATAAATGTTTCAGTTCTTCTGTATCAGAAGAAGGTCTTAGGTCATTGGACACTGAGTTTCTCTCTTGTTCCCCCATAGCAAACTACTTTAAATTCTTTGAATTTTCAGTACTTTGAAGGATGCTCTCAGGAGTGTTTGTAGAAGGAATTAATAAGCGTTTGTTGAGTATAGTCTTTGAACAAGCAAGCATTCAGCATAGACTCTGTGCCAAGCACCATGTTGAACATTGTTCGCAGGATTAAAAATGCTTTTATTTTGTTTTTTTTGTTATTTATTTATTTGGAGGGGGGAGCAACAGAAGGAGAGGGAGGGGGAGAATCTTAAGCAGGCTCCACGTCCAGTATATGGCACCCGATGTGGGGCTCCATCTCGCAGCCCTGAGTTCATGACCTGAGCCAGATGCTTAACCTACTGAGTCACCCAGGCACCCTTGAAAAGTGCTTTTAAGCAGTAGTAAAGAAAGAAGCTATTGGGCATGAGAACTGGACTACCATGCAAGAATCAAAATGCAGGTTAGGATCTGGAGTGAAGAAATACTGCCTAGTTTGAAGCAGGATGAGTCTAAAGGAGCTTCCCAAGCTGAAGTTGGGGATATGGCGGGTCTGGTTGCTTGTTCCTGTTTAAGGGAGTGTAGCTCTTGCTGATTTTTCTCTCACTATTGCATACTCAAATTGTAAGAAGCAATTAAATGTATTACATTTGTAAAGCTCTTAGACCAGCCTCTGGTGTGTCGTTAAGTACTGTATCACATCATTTACTAAATAAATAAAAATTATACCAGTATTCTGTTTCTGATACTTCCACAAAAGATGTTAGGGATTCCACTTGGACTCATATTTAACCAAATACTACATGTATTTTTTCACTTCTTGGCCTCTGGCCTTTTTCATGCAGCACCATCTGCTTTCTGTTTATTAGCTGCTTTCCGTGTTCTCAGCACTTTGATGGCACTGCAGCTCAGCCTTTCCTCCTCCCCTTGGCAACTGGCAAATCATGAATGGCGCTCCCTGGGCAAAGTGGTCTTGACTGCTGTGTCCCCTGGACTACCTAGGCCATGATCCACTAATTCCTTTAGCTTGTTAACTGCTCAAGTTAAGACAAATGTTTTTTGTTTTGGGGGATTTTTTTTGTCCAACTTTTTCACTTGTCTTCAGTGGGCGAATTGGTCCAATTAATATTCTGTGATGACTAGAAATGGAAATTCTAGTTTATGTGCCTTATGTGGTTTAAATTCTACAATCCTCATGAGAACCTCAAAAGGAATTTAGGCTTTCTCTATTCAATAGAGAAGGAAAATGAGGCACAGAGAGTTTGTTTTCTGCCAAGGGTCAAAGAGCTGATAAGTGATGGCACCAGAATTTGAACACAGGCAGTCTGGTTTTAGAGTTTGTACGCTGAACCCCTGTCTTCACTCATTTTTCTGATTTCATGACACAATATAGCTGTTTCATCACCAAAAGCCTTCTTTTAAAAGGTTAACTAAAAAATAAATTAAATAAATAAATAAATAAATAAATAAAAGGTTAACTAAGTCTCTACCTTGACATGCTTTCCTTACAGCTTAGGACACAGCCTGACAAAAGCCTAGCTAGATAGAATTTAATATCAATAAATATGGTACATTCTGCATCTTTTCAAATGGCCACATGACACAGACAGATCTATTATCAATTAATTAATGCCCTGTTTTTGTAGGTTTATAGGTGTTTTATACCTTCATGGACATTTTAATCTTGCAGAGAAAAACATTCTTTCAGATTTTGCCAAAATTGTTTATTTTGTTTGTTGAATTTGTTCAAGGTATGTAGAGATGAAATATATATATCTAAAATTGGAACCATCTGTACGTCTGATATGTCTAGAATGCCAGATCTGGTAAATGACATCAGTGAATGGGACTCAGAAACCTCCTTTTTTGTGCCAGACTGCTTATAATTAAAAAAAAAAAAAAAAAAAAAAAGTTTTGGAATTGAGTCAAAGCCAGAGACTTTTATGCATCCCGAATGGCCAGAAACCCATGGAAACAACCAAGGCCTTTGAGAGTGCTAAGTGAATCCCAGTACACTCCATTGCAGTTCATCACAGGAATCCAACACACCCACAAATCACCAACAGCGAGAGCACCTTGGTTGCTTACGTGCCATTTTGAGCAGATCTATCTTTTCATTAGATTCAAACTGGTTTGGTTTGGTTTGGTTTGGTTTGGTTTGGTTTGGTTTGTCTTAAAAAATACTTTTTCTGTCCTTGGCCAAACTACAGGGTCTAACATATTTTCCAATTTCTTTTGACAGAGAAAAAGACGAGCATATGAATCTAACCTCATCTGTGATGGCCTGCATTTAGAAGCAACAAGATCGGTAAGTGTTGGATCCTTTCCAATTCCTGGCTGACTATTGCTCTTGGGAAGCTACATGTCATTTGGGATGCTAGACTGGCATTTGAAACTTGCAATTCTAGTGATGCCCTAGGCTGGGCGGAAAGGTGGGAGGGCATCCATCAAAATCTGCATTATAGAATGTATTTGTTTCGATCAAAGTCAGCATACCTTTTTATTTTTATTTATTTATTTATTTTTTTAAGATTTTATTTATTTATTTGACAGAGAGAGATCACAAGTAGACAGAGAGGCAGGCAGAGAGAGAGAGAAGCAGGCTCCCTGCTGAGCAGAGAGCCCGATGCGGGACTCGATCCCAGGACCCTGAGATCATGACCTGAGCCGAAGGCAGCGGCTTAACCCACTGAGCCACCCAGGCGCCCATAGCATACCTTTTTTAGTAGCCAAAGAATGTAATACTGAATGCATGTATAAATTATCGTTTTCTTCTTTTAAGAGCTTTTTAAAAAGATCTCTTATTTTACAAACAACGGCTTATAAAAATTAATATAAGAATAACAAAAAAATCCTCTATATTCTAATTATACATAAATAACCTTGTGGTGCCACTGAACTTTTTTATTCCTCAAAACATATCTGTTTTTCCCTTTCAAAAAGGGGGATTATTATTTCACAGTTTTATAATTTGCTTTTCTTTCTGCTAATATGTAGTAGATGCATTTCTATATCAACATCTTTTTCTTATGGACACATAACATGACATTTAACAGATATATAATATACTAATGAGTCCTGCTCTGGGTTAGAAATTTTAAAATTATCATTAAAATAACACTGCAGTGAATAGTCTAATGTTTTTATTTTTAGTCACCAATTTGGGTGGAGTGATAGGCAAATTAACAAGTTTGCTTTTCTTCATTTAAAATAATAGTAGTTTTCTGAAAGTATGATAAGGACTTTAATTACTTGCTCAATAATTTGAACCAAGAAATTATCTTTAAGGCAAAAATATCTGATGGCATGCAAGTCTGTTTTGTTTTATCTTCGTCTTTACCAGCGTCCTGTGTTTTGACTACCAGCAACTTAAGAACAATCCATATGTGTTTCAAAATTATGAAAATAATCAGTTTCCTGGTTTGTGTTTTTATTCTTGCATTGTAGGTTTTGGATGATAAGCTTGTGTTTGTAAAAGTACATGCCCCATGGGAGGTGTTATGTACGTACGCTGAGATAATGCACATCAAGTTGCCTCTGAAACCCAATGATCTGAAAACCCGGTCCTCAGCCTTCGGTAATTTCAGCTGGTTTACCAAAGTCCTCCAAGTGGATGAAAGTATCATCAAGCCAGAGCAGGAGTTTTTCACTGCCCCATTTGAGAAGAACCGGATGAATGATTTTTATATTCAGGATAGAGATACTTTCTTCAATCCAGCCACCAGAAGCCGCATTGTAAGTCTAAACCAAATTTAGTTGCTGTCTTCGAGTAATTTGGAACCTGCTGCTTGAATAATTAGTGATCTGGTGTGCTTGATTTAGTTTCGTTTTTAAAAGCTGCCCCCCACCCCTCACTGAAAAGGAAGCAGGTTCCTGTTACAATAGTAACAATGGTTGGTTAGTTACACATTAATGCACTCATTCTGTTTTATAATTTTTTTTTAGGTTTACTTCATCCTCTCTCGGGTCATGTATCAAGTAAGAGACAATGTTAAAAAGTTTGGAATTAACAAACTTGTCAGCTCTGGGATCTACAAAGCGGCTTTCCCTCTCCATGATGTAAGTCAAATGGCAAGAATGAAATAAAATACCCAAGGTGTACTTTACTGTGAATAGAGAAGGGCTAATCTTAACCTTGAGTTTCTTCTTCCATAAAATGAAGATAGTCAATGACAAGGTTACAAGCTCATTGAGGGCAGGAACTGGGTTATTTTGGGCCATAGAGAAGGCCGTCAGTTTGAACAGTCAATGAACGGATGATGGAAGCAGCAGCCATCTTGTAGTGCTCATATAGAGCTCTGCTGGTGAGCAGTTAAGAGCATGGGCTCTGGGGCTTGCTCTCCCACTTTCGAACTGGATGATCTCATAAAAGTCACTTAGCCTCTCAGTACCTCAATTTCCTCATCAATAAAATGGGATAATTACGTCATAGAGTTATGCCATAGAGTTATGAGGGTTAATTAAATTAATTCCTGTCAAATGTTAGCACCATCCCTGGCATGTGGTATAAGCAATAGCTTTCTTTATAATTACTGACAGATGTTGTTATCAACTAGAAAAGTATTGGTTCTTTTTAAGTAAAATACGTGTTAGATCTTCTCACTCATAATTTTCTAGAACACGGGCTTTTTCCCCCTGAAATACCATTTTCTTCCTGTGTCCTAGACTATCATAAGGCTTTTACAAAGACATCTGTCAGAGTTCTCGTCCCGATGGCAATACTGCAGGGTGTTGACATTTTTTAAGGACTCCGTTCTGAGATGACAGCAGCTCCTCAAATTCAAGAGCACTTCTGTGGCCGATAACATCTCTCATGAAATGAGAATTTTAAAATGTGACTGCTTCAGACCCTTAACGATTCCATAAATGCCGGGATATTATATCTAAGCTCTTTAGGTAAATTCTGTCATTGAAATAAATTAAATACTATATTATAGTGTGCTATAACTTTGTCACATTCACTATCAATTTATCTGAATCTCTAAGACCAAGAAAGCCAAGAGTGAGATTGATCATTCTGCTGGGTAGTACGTGTATGTGTGGATGACGATGTTATTGAAGTGTACTGTAGATGATAATAAACTAGGATACAAAAGAGCTACTTGAGGCACATGTGTAAATAGAGAGCAGAGAGCTGAATGGAGTAGATTCTGAACTTCCTGGTGAAGAGACCCAATATGGCAGCCCAGCCTGAGGGTCCATGTGTTTTATATTTGCTAGCAAAATTAGTGAGTATAGCATGACACAAACTTTAGGAATACTTAAGAATAGCTGTCATGAATATTAATGTGGGATGCCAAAGTTCTATAGTATTCAGTTGGCATCCGCCCATGCCCAGTTCTTTCCTGCTAAAGCCTCTTTCAATTGCAGTGATCCCACATCCAGCCTAAGGAGTGATCTTGTGTGGCATTTGGAAGGGAAGTGAACTGAGATCAGGACCTATGTTAAGGCTTACCTGGTGATAATCTGGTTCTAGTACAGGAGGGAGAAAAACGAGTCAGATGGGAAGAGTGACTGAGTTTACATAGAGGCAAGAACCTTTGTTTTTTGAGTAAACGAAGTATATAATATGTCATACTTCTTTGTTGTTCATATTCTGCATATTGTCCCAGAGTAACTGCTGAACTGGGGGATGCCTGGGTTTTAGAATTGACCTTGGTACTAACCAGCTAAGGCCCTGGTTCCCCCTGGGCATCCAGGGAGGGTGTGGCTAGCAGGTGTTCCTCCATTGTGGCTGTTTTGCACTTGAGCAGCCCAATTTTTAACTGTTTAGGAGTTGGCATGCTTGTGGGACGTAAGGCATCTCTGGGGCTCCCACCAGGTACCTGAGGTGTTCTCTAGGATTATAACAACCAAGTGTTCTTCCCCACCCACATTTGCAAGTGGCCGCAAGTGATTAATAATACCACTGGTTGAAAATCACTAAGAATTAGATGATCCATCCATCCCTTCCAGCAAAGGAGAGCCCCCTATTCCTGTGAAGTACAAGTACCATATTGAATAAACAGGTCTGTGAACACCTAGTGCTTATATGCTCACTTGTTTGCTTCTGCTTCATAGTGCACCTTTAACCATAAGTCCGAGGATGTCAGCTGCCCGAGTGAACGGTACCTTCTGTACAGGGAGTGGGCTCATCCACGAAGTATATACAAAAAGCAGCCCTTGGATCTTATCAGGTGAGGTGTATAGAGAGCATGCCAGTGGGAGGACTCAGGTTGCTCTCTGGCATCGAAGTGACAGTATTCGAAGAGGATTGCTGCCCAGGGAAGCTCACCCAGACCTCTGAACTTCATTGTCCACAGCTTTTTTTTTTTAAGATTGGTATTTATTTATTTATTTATTTGACAGGCAGAGATCACACGTAGGCAGAGAGGCAGGCCGGGGGTGGGGGCGGGGGGAAGCAGGCTCCCTGCTGAGCTGAGAGCCCGCTGCAGGACTTGATCCCAGAACCCTGGGATTATGATTTGAGCTGTAGGCAAAGGCTTTAACCCACTGAGCAACCCAGGCACCCCTGCCCACAGCTTTTTATTGAGGCTTTTTAGATAGCATGAGTCACTGAATCATTGCCCTTGTGGCTCAGTCTCCAGCCCCTTCCTTTCCCAACATACTATGGCTCAAAGCCCCCCAGTCCTCCAGTCACATGGTTGGTCTTCCTGGCCTGGCCAGTCTCCATCCTGAGTCATCCCATTAGCACAGACTAAGGGCCCTCCATGAGTCACCTCATTGGCATCGACTGTTAGGTGGGGTCCCAGGGGTTCTTTGGGAATTAACAAAGACACCCTTATCTTGGGAAATTCCAAAGGTTTAGAGGTTACCTCCCAAAATTGGGAATAAAGACTCACCATAGTCCTCATTACACAGGAGTAAATGTTAGATTTAGCTTAAATTGTATGGTAAGAGATACAAGTTTTCACTGCTTGCCTGTATCTGCTGCTAGATACTGTTTCACTATATCTAACAAGGTGCGATGACTAGCTCAGCATTTATTTTCTGAAAACACCAAGGTCAGCTGCTCTCCAGAAACTTTTGTTGTTTGGGCAAGGCTGCTGGATAGAGAGACAGACCAAAAATAATGAAGAAACAAATAAAAATAAGCAAAGAAGTAAACAAAATTTCTGATTGAAATGAAGAAACACCATGATGAGTTGGGGTGAGGGGAAGGAAGTGAAGAAAGTTACGTTTGAGTGGGCAACATATGAACTAAGACCTGGATAGTGAAAAGGAACCAGGATTTTGTGGATTAGAAAGAAGTCATTCTTGGACTGGGGCAGCTTGCACGATGGCCCATGAGGTACAGGGTCACTGGCAAGTGTGAGGAAATATCGAAGACCTGTGCTAAGGAGAGAAGAATGAGACACAGGTTAGAAGGGGGGTAGCTGGATCACGGAAAAGAGGTTAGATTTTAAGGACAGTGAAAAGCACTTGTGATGCTTTAAGTACTCCAATAATTTTATCTCATTCACACTTTGTAAAGATAATTTGGGGAATGGCTGACAGGGGCCCCCGGAAGCAGGGAGAGCAGGTAGGAGGCTGTCGGAGTGGCCAGAGGAGAACTCTTAGCAGCACAGTTGGAATGGGTGGTAGGGAAGTCCATGGGACTTGGTTGTGGGTTAGATGTGGAGAGCAAGGAGGGAAGAGTCAGGTTCCCCCGGGTTGGCCTGGAGCCAAGTGTCTGTTTTTTCTACCTCACCTCAGTGCCCACTGACATGGGAAAACCACTTGACATTAAAAGTGAGAGTTTTAAAACATTGAAGTTTTTGTTTTGCTTTGTTTTACATTTTCTTATGGGAAATTTCAAACATACGCAAAAATAGAACAGTACAGCAAAACTGCCTATATCTGTCTCCCACCTCCAAAAATTATGAACTCCTCACTAGTCCTGTTTCATTTTTCTCTCTAGCTCCTTCCCATCCCTTTCCATTGGAGCATTTTGAAGAAGACCCCAGATATCATTATATTTCATTAATATTTCATATATTTCATTATCTTTTAAATGCAGTCTGAATACTTAAAATCATCAAAAAGCCATGTTCAGTTTTTCCTGATTATCACAAAAACTTTTTTTTTTTTTTTTAACAATTTTTAGTTCAGATCAGAGAACCAAACAAGGTCCATATGGCGCAATTAATGTATTTCTCGGTTGTCTTCTAATCTTTCCATTTCTTTCTTCCTGGTGACTGTGGAGGAGTTTCTCCATTCTCTATTTTACTGACTTCATTCTTCCTTGTGCTGGTGTTGGACTTGTTGCTGTGTCCTGTGTATTTGCTTTAGCTAAGTAATTTGTCCCTCATTTGAAAGTTTGATCTGATTGTGGTTCAGCTTTGTACAAGAATACTTAATATGTGGAGTTTCATACTTCTACCAGAAGCTACATAATGTACTGTTTCTTCTGTGTGTGATGATAGCAACCATCAGTGATCATTGCTTAAAGTCATTTCATAAGGGATTTTATTTTGCTATTTCATTTGGTCATACTCTTCATTTCTTCATTTTTTAACTGGATTACAATCATAAAGAGGCATTTTCTCTCATTAACTCCAGGTATTCTGTAGGATAAAGTTTTAAAAGAGGGTGTTTGTACATATGTAAACATTTGAAGCTGATACTCACGTGTGATTTTCTTTTATGTTAAACCCAAACCATCTGATAGCAGGGTGTTGGGTTCTTCATCATCCTTTATTGCTTTTTTGATACAGAGAACAATTTCCCCACTATTTTAAGTATATTTCACTAAGGAAAATGTATTTTTTTTCTAACTATTCCCCGTCCCTAGTCCGCATGTTCCTTTCCTTGCTTCCCACTAGTAACCCCTTGAGCATTTGGGCTGTTAAACCTTCATCTGTGGGCCCCAGGGATTACCTGAAGGGAAAATCATTTCTTTTCCAAAAAGCAAACCAGATAAACCAGAAAAAGCAACTGGGGGAAACAGATTTTGCACAGAAAAAAAAAAAAAAAAAAAAAGAAAAAGAAAAACTATCTCCCAAACTCCCATTTTTACCCTCAGAGTGAGAAAAGAAACTATGATAACCATAAGAAAGGACAGAAGTTCTATAAAAAAAGGATCATTCCAAGGATAAAATGTGATTCTTAAAAATGTAATAGAACAGAAAAACCCTAATCATAGTATTAGAAAATAAAGTTGAAGAAATTGTACAGAACACAGAGCAAAAATACGAAGAGATAGAAAATAAAAAGGACAGGAAGAAATAAAAAATTAGAAGGTCTGTCTAGGAGATGCAATGAACAAATAGTAGGGTGCTAGGAATGAGAACAGAGACAACATGCAGAAGAAATCAGAGCAGTGTCTGAACCATATTGAAGAACAATAGAGAGCATGAGGGGTCCCTCGTGTCAAGCAGTGCTGTCAGGAATCAGGAAGACAGCCAAAGGAAATGAGCTGAGAACAGATAACACTAGAACATGGAGGTTGGTACCAAGAACTGATGACTGGCAAAGCCAAGAGCTGATGGAAGAACCGGAAGAGGCCTGGGAAGGCTAAAGACTGATAAAACTCCTCTAAAAAGGGAGGACTTCCACAGCAAACTGTCAGATTCTCCAGGTTCGGACTCTTCCTTGTCTGACCACATTTGAAAGGCAGCAGCCCCAGATTGGTCTCTGAACATAGGAGAGACCCTCCACTGCTTGAACATAATAAGCACTAAGTGCCGAGAGTGGACCCGGACTGGACTGAGTCCTCATCTCACCTGTATGGTTGGGGACTGACTGCATTTGGTTCATTAATTTCTTACCCTCATTGTATCTTGTTTGTTGTGTGACTTCATATTGTATCTTGTCCTGTGTGGCGTGTATGAAGCCAGATCAAATGTGTAGGGAAGTGTCATTGAGTCTGGAGTCCAGAAGCTGTTACAGTTGTGCAAATCTTGCTTTATGAGTGAATAAAGCTGACATTGTGGAAAGACACAACTCGTACCTACACACCTTTATAGCGCACTCGGGACAGAAACTGAATGTGCTGGGTCTCCAGATGGAAGGAGCTTACCGAGCGCTCAGAGGATGAAAATAGAGCCAGCCAGTCACCTCAGCATGTCATCAAGTCATGACAACATGACACCTCAGGACGCTGAAGACAAAAAGAAGATCCTGAGAACTTCCAGAAGGAGAAATAGAACCTCCAGAAGGAGAAACCTTCATTTGAAGGAGCAAGACTCAGAATAACACCAAACTCCTCAACGACAACACTGCAGGTAGAAGAAAAGAGAGCAATAAGTTCCTATTTCCAAGGGATGTGATTTCTTACTTTCCAATTCCACAGATGGTCAAGCTGTTTAAATAAGTGCGAGGAACTTTTGCCATTTAAATGTGCAAAGTAGGGGCGCCTGGGTGGCTCAGTGGGTTGAGCCGCTGCCTTCGGCTCAGGTCATGATCTCAGAATCCTGGGATCGAGCCCCGCATCGGGCTCTCTGCTCAGCAGGGAGCCTGCTTCCTCCTCTCTCTCTGCCTGCCTCTCTGTCTGCTTGTGATCTCTCTGTCAAATAAATAAATAAAATCTTAAAAAAAAAAAAAAATGTTTTAAATGTGCAAAGTAGTGGAGGTGTTGCTCCACGAAGGAAGAGGAAAACATGGCTTCAGTAAACAGGGATTCCCAACGTGAGAGAAAAATGGAGATTCCAGGTGATATCTCTGTGCAGGGCTAGAGAATCATTAATCTGGGTTGGAGAAGATCTGATGGGATTCATTCAAGGAGGTGAAATCAATAGACTACCTCATGTGTTTGAAAGTACTGAGAAAATTACATGTTAGGTCAAAGTCTGGGGTTGAATTGTTGGTAAGCATACAGAAAACTAAGCGGTGAACCACCATGACAATTACTAGAACTTTCTCACCCTTTCTGAGTATATACTTTTAACTTAGATCAAGAAGCTGAATTTTTAGAAATTGATGTTAAGAATTGGAATGTTCTTGGCAGAAAGAGAATGATCAGAATATCATATTTGAAAGAATTATTATATTTTATTCCCAGCCTTTCAGCAGGAACTTGGAGGCAGTTTTTGGTCTGGATTCAAAAATTCTTTCTGATCTTCTTGCCTCCAATATAACGTAGGTATCTCTGGAAACAATGAACTCCCTGTCATGCTAAGTATCCAAGCAGGGACTGCCTGACTAGCTCTAAATGAGGCAGAATATTTCTACTATTGGAGAGTTGGACCAGTAACCTCTAACATTCTTTCAGTTTTAAGTTTGGCATTTCCAGTGTGGATGGTTGATAAGAACATATCAGAGAAAGCCCAACAGCCAAGATGTTGCAAACCCATTGCCAAGCTTTTCTTTCTCAGTACTACCCTGAGCCTGTCATTGACCTACAGTTTATGAGTCAGACAGCAAAGCCCCAGTCACATAAAAATGCAACACTTGCAAGACGCCTGATTCCATGTCCTGTCCGGGCCAGTCCTTCCTTACCCCTAGGGATTAGCCTACACCCAGGCCTACAACCTCTGAAGCTGACAGCGGGTTCAGCCCAGGGATGTTCCTGTCTGAAGGGAGTCTCCAGGGACTTCAGGCCTTCCTCAGAGCTTAGTCCCCACCAGGCTAAGCCCAAGGACCTCAACCCAGCCCCATACTACTGAGCCGGAAGTCTCATAGAGGTCTTTAAGGAAGCAGAGAGCTAAGTAAATTATAGTTTCTCTGGGCCAGTACTGAGCCGGGAGTGACTCAGTATCAACAGCAGCAGCCGTCCCCTAACAATCATCTCAGTGTGCTCTCCTCACCTCTCAACTCTTTCCTGGTCCTGAACTGCATCTGTCTCCCTTTCAGGAATAGTCTGGTGTGGCTTCCTGCCCTACCTCCTTTCTTCCAAAGGGGCCTTCTGGACTCTTCCCCTGATCAGTTTTCACAACTTAGAGAAAATGGAAGTGCTAGATGTAAGGAATACAGCCCAGTGGATTCCTCAGTCATTGTCAGTGACTTCTCATCAGTCCTTTTATTTGTGATTTACACTAATTTATTTCTGATTTACATTACACTGGCTCCGAGGGAGTTCCCTGGACAAGCAAAAGCAAGTACCTGGGAGCAGATTGTTCGTGTTCATTTGTCTCATGCGTGTTACAGTCTTTTGGAGAATGTATCAGATGTGTTCGTGTTTACAAAGAATGATGGTGATGTATTCTGTTTGGTTACTGTGTAGCATTTTTCTTTCCTTCGCCCTGTTCTAACTGACTTTGCTTCACCAGGCTTACCAGTGATCTGTAGTTCTAGGATATGTAAAATACTCGTTTCCTAGTGGAATTTGGGGTCTTTATGAAAAGGAACATGTTTTAACTGTGAATTGAGTAAGAGGTCTAAGCTTAAAGCCTCCAGTATTTAAAATCAGAAATTGAGGTTAGGATGAAGATGCAAAGTGGTTCGGTGTGTCTTCTAAAAACACTTTCTGTGTTTCTTCAGGAAATATTATGGAGAAAAGATTGGAATCTACTTTGCGTGGCTGGGCTACTATACTCAGATGCTCTTGCTGGCCGCAGTAGTAGGAGTGGCTTGCTTTCTCTATGGCTATTTTAATCAAAATAACTGTACGTGGAGGTGAGTTCTATTTATTCCTTGTTACCGTGATGAAAAATTTTGATGAGAGATTCAAAAATTCCCAAAATCAAAAATTTGAAAATTTTGATTATTATTATTTTCAGGGTCTTAGACAGTTTTAGTAAAAAGAAGACTCATCACAGAACACTTACTGCCTTGGAAAATATATCCCTTTTGTCCTGAGTGTAATAACTAAGTGAAGTGGAAAAATTTTTTTTTTTAGATAATGCAGCCCAGTTTCTGACAGGAATATTACCCTTAGGAAACACTCCAATTTTTAAGACAATACTGTATTTGAAAAAGAAAGGCAGTCTAGAGGGAGAATTGTCCTTGAACTTCTGCTCCCCAGAGGAATGTTCTGCTGAGGCCTACAGATGGGAGCCAAGAGCAGCTCTGATTTCTTCAAGATTTCAGAAGCAAAACTTGATAAAATTGGTATTTTTATGCTTTTAGAAATGACTTTTTAATATATATTAGGAAATTGGTGTTTAGAAATTCAAGTAAACAATACTTTTGTTTTTGTTCTACTTTTAAAAAAATTAGGCCTTACAGTGTTATGGGGAAAAAAGTAAGTGATAAACAATTAGTTTGTGCTTGGTGTTAGAATTAAAATACCAGCTGCACTGTCTAAAGGGAAAAAGCATGGATGCCAGAACACTGAATTTCCCCAGCACTGTTCTGAATTGTCATTATACCTCTGCTTTTGGTAGCGTCAACCTTTAGAAGGGATGCCACACTGAAGCAGGCATTTTCTTGTGTTCACCTGGCCTCTCTCCAGCTGTGACAGCCAGATCAAAATTTCTGGGCACCAGTTATGAGCTAGCTGATGACCAGATTTTTCTAGCCCCAAGCATATCAGCCTGGCTCCCGATGCAGGAAGCTTACATGGCAGCTCTGATGTATAGGCATAATTATCCATTCTATTTAACGGAGAATTCTGAGCATTTTGTACCCATTATGGCTTCTTAGCTAGAAAGCTGCAGATGGTCTTTGAAGTACTCTCTTCTCTTCACTGAAAATAAGAGTTCAGGGCCAGAGGCTGAATGTTGCTACCTTTTGCCTAAATTTGTCTCTCGCTTGTCCATTATTTTGTATACTGTTCCAACCAAAAAACCAAAAACCATAAAACAACATCTCAAAAATATATTTAAAGTGCAAATAAGCATTTTTATAAGGTTCTTGCATTGTGGCTGTCCTCATTACAGGTCATTTTGTACAAACACCCTGACAGTCACGGCACATGTTTTCTACTATTTCACACAGATTAGTTTACAGAAATCTGGGGCAGGGTCTTGGGGATATACTCCCTGTGCTCAGAACTGTTGGGGCTTTAATTACTTACATTAAGTATTTTTAAAATACATGCATTTAAATATTTTCAGTTAAGTTTATTACATGCTGAGTAGATTCACAGGAATAGAAAATATATGTAAGGTCTAGGAATAATGATCCCTCACCAGTTTAAGGAAAACAACATTACTCTTACCTGGGAAGTGCTTCCCTCAGTTGCATTCCCTCACTTTCCACTTTGGAAATCAGAACTACAGTAAATTTTGATTTTTTTTTTTTTTTATCATTCCATTAAATAGCCTGTATTATATATTTTTTTATCACATATATTTGTATCCCTACAAAATGTATTTCATTTTGTGTGCTTTTGAAAATATGCATGTGTAAGTGGAGGTTACTATAGGTATTTCCTCTTTCTCAAAATCTTTTGTTTAAAGCTTATGTCCCCCTTTAAACATAACAGCTTTATTGAGATATGATTCAGGTACCATAAAGTGTGCCCTTTCACAGAATACAGTTGAGTGGGTTGCCTTTTCACTTTCTTGATGGTGTCCTTTGAGACACAACAGTTTTTAATTTTAATGAAGCCTGGTTTACCTAATTTTTTCTTTGATTGCTTGTGCTTTTGGTATCGTACCTTAGAAAGCATTTTTATACAGAGTCCTAAAGATTTTATCAGTGTTTACCATCTAAAAGTTTTATAGATTTAGATCTGCGATTCATTTTTTTACCAGGTATGTATCCAGGGGTCTTGGCACCATTATTGAAATATTTCCCTATAGGATTATCTGAGCACTGTTGTCAAAAGCCATTTGGCTAGAGGTGTAAGAGTTTTTTTATGGACTTTCAATTGTTTTCCATTGATCTCTATGTCTGCCCTTTTCGCAAATACATACTATATTGATTACTGTAGCTTTGTTAGTAAGTTTTGAAGTTGAAAACTTCACACAACGTTTTCTTTTTCAAGATTGTTTTGGCCATTTTGGGTCCTTTGCATTCCATGTTAATTTTAGGATCAGCTTGTCCATTTCTGCAAAAAAGCCAGAATTGCATTAAATCTGCAGATCAATATTAAGACTTATAATCTATGAACACAGAATGTCTTCCCATTTATGTAGGTCATCTTAAATTTCTATTAATAAACTCTTTTGTAGTTCTCACTATTTAAATTTCACACTTTACTCAAATTAATTCTAAGTATTTTATTCTTTTTGATGCCATTATAAATGAAATTGCTTCCTTCATTTAATTTTTGGATTATTCATTGCTAGTGTATAGACATATAATTGCTTTTTGTGTATTGATTTTGTGTCTTTTAACCTTGATGGGCTGGCTTTTTAATTCTAATAGTTCTTTGATGAATTTCTTAGAATTTTAATCCAAACTGTTATGTCATCTCAAATAAAAGTAGTTTTACTTACTCCTTTCCAGTCTGGAGGCTTTTAATTTATTTTCCTTGTGTGGTTGCCATGATTAGACTCTCCAGTATAATATTAATCTTAAGAAGGAAACATTTAGTCTTTCACCAGTAAGGATAACATTTGCTATGGGTTTTTCATAATTGTTCTCTATTGAGTTGAGAAGTTCCCTTCTATTCTGAGTTTTTATTTGTTAACTCTGTTAAAAATGACATATTACATGAATTGATTTTTGTGTGTTGAACTATCCTTGCATTCCTGGGTACATCCCACTTGATGATGATTCTTTCTATATGTTACTGGATTTGCTTTGCTAGTATCTTGTTGAGGAATTTTGCATCTGTATTCATAAGAGATAATGGTCTTTAGTTTTCCTCTGACATCTTGGTATGATTTTGGGATCTGTAACATTGGTCTTATAGAGTGAATTAGGAAGTGTTCCCACTTCTTTATTTTAAGAAGGGTTTGTGAAGCATTTGTGTTGGTTCTTTAAATGGTTGATAGAATTCCCTAGTGAAGCCATCTGGGCCTAGGCATTTCTTCATGGGAATTTATTTATTTATTTTTAAAGATTTTATTTATTTATTTGACAGAGATCACAAGTAGGCAGAGAGGCAGGCAGAGAGAGAGGAAGGGAAGCAGGCTCCCTGCTGAGCAGAGAGCCCAATGTGGGGCTCTCTTCATGGGAATTAAAAAAAAAATTTTTTTTTTAATTAGTAATTCAGTCTCTTTACTTGCTATTGGTCCATTCAGATTTTCTATTTCTTCTTGAGTCAGCTTCAATTATTTACTTCTTTCTAGGAATTTATTTCATCTAGACTACTTAATTTGTTAGCATACAATTATCCATTGTATTCCGTATAATCCTTTTTATTTTTTAAGGTCAATGACAGTGTCCCTCTTATCACTTCTGAGTTTAATAATTTGAAACTTTTTTTCTTTTTCTCAATTAGTCTAGCTAATATTTGTCAATTTTGTTGATCTTTTCAAAGAACCAACTTTTGTTTTTGCTGATTTTTCTTTTTGTCTATTCTCTATTTCTTTTTTGTTTTTTTCCTTTTGCCTCTCATTTGAATGCTTAATTCATTTACATTTAATGTCATTTTTTTCCTGTTTGGTCTTTTTTTCCTCTATTCTTCTATTATGACTTTTTTTGTGTAAAACAGATATTTTCTAGTATACCATTTTAATTCCAGTTTGTCATTTCTTACATTTTTGTTCTTATTTTCTTAAGTGGTTGCCCTGGAGATTGTAATTAATATCTTGTTGTAAAGCAATTTCGTTCAGTTTTAATGCCAGCTTAATTTCCAGTGTTATGCGAAACTTTACATCAGTACTGGTCTTTTCCCTTTGTGCTCTCATTCTCATGCAAATTACATCTTTATGCATTATAAGCCCATCAGCACAGTTTTATTTATTTATTTATTTATTTTTAAAGATTTTATTTATTTATTTGAGAGAGAATGAGTGAGAAAGAGAGCCTGAGAGAGGAGAAGGTCAGAGGGAGAAGCAGACTCCCCAAGGAGCTGGGATCCTGATGCGGGACTTCATCCTGGAAGTTCAGGATCATGATCTGAGCCAAAGGCAGTTGCTCAACCAACTGAGCCACCCAGGCGCCCAGCACAGTTTTATATTATTGTTTTATGTAATTGTCTCTTACCTCAGAAGAAAATAATTACATACAAAAATATATTTATAATGTGTCATTTACCTGTGTAGTTACCTCTACCAAGTGCTCTTTATTTCTTTAGGTGAGTTTGAGTAACTGTCTAGTGTCCTTTGATTTAAGCAGGAAGGACTTTCCTTAGTGATTCTTGTGGAGCAGGTTGGCTAGCAACATGTTCTTTCAGGTTTTGTTTATCTAGGAATGTTTTAATTTCTCCATTTTTTTTTTTTCTTTTGAAGAACAGTTTTGGTAGATATAAAATACTTGACTGACCCATCTTTTTCTTTCTTTTTTTTTTTTTTTAAGATTTTTATTTATTTATTTGATAGATGGTGAGAGAGGACAACAAGTAGGGGGAATGGGAGAGGCAGAAGCAGGCCTCCTGCTGTGCGACTTCACACAGTCATCACTGCTGTTTTTCATTTATTTATTTTCCTGAACAAATTCTATAAAGTCTTTATTTTTGGTTGCATGTGACCATGAAGACTGTTTTCAGTAAGCTTAGTTGTCAGCTAATGATCGGACAGGATTTCTCTAAATGCTGGGAACCACTCATTCTTGGAGCTCTTGCCAAGTTGCTCTGTGTGTGTCTATGAGGAATGCCTGCAGCACTTTAGCAGGCCATTTGCCTGTCTTCCTGAGCCTCTACTTCCTGCTTATGCAGAAACTCAGAGCCACTCAGAGATGAGGAATTAAGGTTTCCTCAGGTCTTTCCTGGCCACCTGCACTATCCTACACATGCTCATGGCCTTCTACAATCCTAGGAATTTATTGGAGCTTTTTAAAGCCCCCTATCATTATCTCATTCCCCAATGTTTCCTTTTAAGTTTCTTGATCAGCATGTTGTTGGCCCCTCCTGGTAGTGCACCACAGGCAGTTGTAACGTTAATAATTCCTCCTAATGCTTTCAGCAGACACTGTGGGGATAGGACCATTTGCACAGCACATATGAGCTCTGAGATGGGTCAAAAATGACAAATCCGGATAATGGAGCTTTCCAGGGAGCTTTCAGACTAGCCGAATAGTGACAATTCTCCAGGGATGGGTTTTTGGTGGCTTAAGATCACTTCTGCCTCATTCAGTGGCTGCTAGGCTACCACGGTGGTGGGGCTGTTGTCTTTTAACCCCACCATTAGGCTTAGGACATGGGAATGGGAATAGGTCAAGTTAAAATGTCACAAAGCTCTCTATCTTTATGGAGATTTAGCTATTTTTACTACTCAGATTGCTGTAAGGCCTTGTTTCATTTCCAGAGTTCTACAGATGACTACAAAGGTTACTTTTCACAAATTTTGCCAGTGTTTTTATGGAAGACCAGTTTTCCCAAGGTCTTTACTCAGCTATTCTAGAAGTGTTTTCCCAGCCAGTTTGCTTTTAACTGCGTTATTTCCAAGGCTAATGAATTCTGCAACTCCAGGGCCATTAACATAGGAGTCCATCTGAGAGGCTCCGCCCCCCCCCCCCCCCCCCCCCCCCCCCGCCACCAGGGAGCAGTCTGCACCCTGTTCTAAGTTTGTTGTTTTTTCCTTATTAATTTGTAGAAGTCCTTTGAATACTCTAGTGAATAGTCCTTTGTCATGGGTTTCATGTGTTGCAAAACTTCTACCAGTTTATGGCTATTTTTTCTTCTCACTTTATGGTCTTTTAATGAATTTCTCACTTTTATAAGATTTTGAGTAAATCAATATTTTCCTTTGCTTTTTATTTCCTCATTAGTGGAGTTTCTCCTTACCCCAATGTTATCTAAATAGCCTCAACAAGTTCCTTCTGCTGCATTCCCATTTTCCACTTGGAGTTTGTTTGTATGTAATAGGCTTTAGGAGTTCAATTTCACATTTTTCCGAAAGGATATTCGATTGCAGCAAATGTCACTTCTCACTTTACTAATTTGCTGGACCAGCCCTATCCTAAGTCAGCTGCTGTATATGCAGAGGTCTCTTCATAAATTGTGTTTTTTCTTGCTCAGTTCCTTCTTCTGCCAACAACCTCTTGTTCTTGAGGAATGTCTTGAATGGTCTGACCATTTTGCTCTTTTATTGAATTTATGGCTCAAATGAAGGAGAAATGACATCTTCATATATTGATTCTTCCAAATTATGAATATGATAATGTATCCATTAGATCTTAACTCTTTCAGAACAGTTTTATCATTTCCTCTATAAAGCTTATACATCTATCTGAAATTTGATTTATTGCTAGGCTCTTTATTTTTCTTAAGCTATGGAAGATGGTATTTTAAAAAATTAATTTCTAATTATTGCAGATCTATAGGGGCACAATTCCTTTTTCTGACCCTATGTATATTTTGTATACGGATTCTGTGTTCAGCATCCTATCTTTGTTTCTCTTGACTTACTGTGCTGGCAGGGCCCCTCCAACTGAAAAGAAGTAGTGATAACAAGATACTTTACCCTGATCTAAAGGAAATACTTTAGCATTTTACCATTAAGTATAATTTTTTTATAGGTTTTATGTAGCAAGGTTTTGTTAGGTTAGGGAGGTTCAATTCCTTTCCTAGTTTTATAAGAATTTAGTTATTTTCTTATCACAAATGGATGTGTGATTTTATGATGCTGCTAGAAACGAAGTCCTAGTCATTAAAACATTTTTAAATTTTATTTTTCTTTGTCCTTTAGCAAAGAAGTTTGTCATCCTGATATTGGTGGCAAGATCATCATGTGTCCTCAGTGTGATAAACATTGTTCATTCTGGAATCTCAATATTACTTGCGAGTCCTCAAAGGTAATTTTTGTCACTCCAAACATTTGCAAATAATGAAAGTTTTTTTTTCTTTGAATAATTTTAGTACAGCCTGGAATTATTTTTTTTTTCTGCGAAATTCAGAAAGGTAATTTTCAAATAAACCTCCAAACATTCTGAAAGGTAGACATAGAATGTATGTGTTTATTCCTCTTGTACAAATAGTAAATTGAGATGAAAAGCCTTATCTAAAATCTTCAGGTGGGTCAGTAAAGAACTACAGAATTGAACTATTAGAGTATTTGAAGTAATCAAAGCAGAAATCTCAAAACCAGCTTATTTCATGAATACTGTTTAATAGGTTTACTTACTATAAAGTAAGTATTTCAAGTGAGTAGAAACCTGATATTTGTACTTACGTTTTTCCACTTTCAAGGTGTGCTGAAACTATGTTTGGTTTTTTAAAAGCCTTGGTCATCACATTTAGGCTGTGTCTATGAATATGCATAAGAAAGGCTTTGTATATAAATGATAATAGATACTCATTTTGTCCCAGAACATTCCCAAAAAATACATCTGGCTCCCTTAAGCATGCTGATGATCTTGAGCTATATGACTTGTTACAACCCAGGAGGTTTAGGACAAGTACTGAGACGAGAGGTAGCTTACTGAAAGGCATGCCACAAACTCTGGCTGGAAAGAAAGGTGGTCATCTTACTTTGGAGAATTTTCCTGACAACTTTGACCTACTGTTTTCCCATGTTTTGATCTTTTCTCTGTCCCCTTGTTCCACCATGAAAGTTTAGGAATCTTTAAATGACTTTAGAATATTCTAACCTGCTCCATCTAAGTCTTACTTAAACCAAATACATTCCTCTTATAATGATGTTACTTAGAACTTATATTTTAAAAGATCCTTGAACTTATTACTTTTGACATAACAACCCTGTGAGGGAGGCGAAACAGGTACTCCCTCCATTTTACAGATTGAAACCCTGCGGGTCCGAGAGTTTAAATAATTTGCTCAAGGTTACCCACCTAGTAACTGATGAAACCAGAAATCGACAGCCAATCTGTGTTTCTTGCCATTACTGTGTTGCTCACCAGCTGACGGTAGTAGCAGCCACTTCACTCACAAATTGAGCACTGTGTTTGAAAAATGTTCTGCTACTTAATTAAGATGATTGCAGGGTATTGTCAACACATGGATTTTTACTCTTAATTTATGAATTAAAGTAGATTTCATTGCCTCTCCCCCAGAAACCAATACAAATTCTAGACTATAAAAATCTGTCATAAATCACATAAAGGACTTGAAACTAGCAGGAGGGAAGCTGCCTTCCAGTGATGTTGACTCATAAAGGTCACTGGTTAGTGCATATCCCTGGACACCGGGGTTAAGGCAAATGCCAGTGATAATACCAGAGGCAAACTCTACTCCACAAACTGTAATTGGAAATTTCATTTTCCTTAAGAAATTCTCTTTCAAATATGAGACCCCCATCTCACCTCTCAGTTCTTCTTTTCCACCGACCCATCCTTAAACACGTGACTTTCAAAGTATGTCCCTATCTACATTTTTTTTCACTGTTTTGGAAAAAATGAATCCTTTATCCTAATTTCCTAAAGACTCCTTTGAATCGTAGAGTGATTTATTCTTTCATATGCCTCCTTCCCTTTGTAAGAGAATTACATTTTTAAAAAATTTTAAAAAGGAGAAAAAGCAGCGTTCCATGTCTTTCTGTTGGTTAATTCAATCATTTCTTCATTTATACATTTATGTATACATTTCTGCCTCTTTCTTTTGGAAAGAGAGTATTCACTGATGGACATGAATGCTAAAAGGGTTAATAAAGTAGAAATAGAAAATCATGATCAAGGAAATGAGGGAACAGTTATGGAAATAATCAGGATTAATGTTGTTTTTGTGACTGAGCATTAAATAAGGTTCTTACTTTTTGACTGGCAAGATGAAAGGGAAATGTGGTAACTTAAAATATTTTGTTCTCAGAAAACATTGTTATAAAATTTTGGTTTTATTCCTTTGGAGGAAGAAACACAACAAATGGTCACTTTTCTAGATTTTCATTGGTTCCTCTGGTTTCCTGCATATGCAGCCTTCTCTTTTCTTTCCTGTTCCCTGTGATTAGAGCAGGATGCTGAGTGGGGCTGCTCTCAGCTGTGTTTCCCCATCTCTGCCCTTCAGCCAAGCAAACTAAGCTAAGCTTTTTACCAAGAAAGCCTCTTGCTCACCTTCTTCCTCAATTCCTGCTTATGGGGTACGTAGAGAAGCCAGCCATCTTGTTCTCTCTGCTGAGTCCTCAATCTTCATAAATGTGGCAAAAATGGTAACTTCCTCCAGACCACCTGACTCCATCTTGTAGGAGCTCAAGGCACATCCTTTACCTTGAGCCAGGCAACTGGGGTGATCTTGGCACTAGTGGTAAACCTGCTTTTTCTTGCTGCTCCCTTTTTTTTTTTTTCTTTCACACTGATAGATAAGCATCCACTGGCTTTTTCTCAACATGGTAGGGCTAAGAATACATAGGTAGGGTTTTTTCTTTCTAGAGTAGGTACTCAGGGGGGTCAGAGCAAGTAGGGAGGTATCAGATAGAGGCTTGCAATGATTCCTAGGAGAAGCATTAGACAGAATTTTCAGTAATAGCATAATAACACATGGCACGGTTCTGCATAGGACTTTCCTTACAGTAATTTTCACTGAGGGATGAGGCATAACATTAAATGAAAGCTTTGGTTTCATAAGAGTCCAGGCTGGAAGATTTGAAATATTGGTCCATGGAATTCTAGGACTAGAGGATTAGGTGGGGGGCAGTGTTCCCCAGACTGGCCACTCACTTAATAATTCTGTCTTCCTTGAGGTAATTTTTGAGAGAAATAGTTGGATCACAGTTTGGGATTGTATTTTCTGATCAGCTCCAGATAGAGGATTGAAGGGCACTTGTATGCTTTGGAAAACACATGTACAAGTGGATATTCTTTTATGGTTAAGTGGATATTCTTTTATGAAAATAATATTTTCACATAGGTGAAAGTTTACCAAATTTATATCAGTATATAAAGGGTAACCAACAAAGTTACCTAAAACAAAGTTTTCTTTAAAGCAACTTTGAATTTTCTTTAGCAATTGAAAAGTTTTTTTTTTATCCTATACCTTCTTTTTGTACACTGTCTTCTTTACTCTTTGTATGATCTGTGTGATCTATCATAAAGTTGATATTCTATATGTTTGCCACTTTTTCCAGTACCTTTATATTTTACAGATTTTTTTTTTAGGATTTTTAAAATGCTCACTAGAGGAAAAATTAGTAACTAATTTAAAGATTTTCTGGGAATCCCAAATGGGAGATGAGAGATAGGTTATTTATATACTAGCAAAAAAAATGAAATTTAGCAGAACTAGTGGATAAAAGCCTTCTTTGTACAGGTGTGTCATTGATTCATTCATGGTTGTACCCATAGTAAGGTTAGCAACAGCCCCTGTCTTACCTAAGTTAATGGTAGCCTCTGTCATTAATGGTAGAAAAGCCATCACTGGGGTATGGGGAAACAGAGCTCTCCTTGGGCATAACCATCTCAGAATAAACCCCAGCCCTATACTCTTCTTAGCAAGAAAAGCAAGAATTCAGTAATTTAACCCTCTGACCAGGATGAGATGATGATAAGATGCAAATTTTAAGTCCAAAAGTTGCTTAAAGTCCCTTGTATTTGTAGAGCTATAGTACTTACAAGTTCACTATGACAGCTTATAAGAAGAGCCCATCATTCAAAGGTCTGATAGAGACTTTAAACCGAATGGAATCTTGGCAGCTATGCCAATTGCTTTATCACGAAATGGAAGGATTCCATTGGAAAATGCACTGTGGTAAATACAGCACAGGCTGTTTGCTTTCAAAACAAGAAATCCCATCTCCAAATTTGTAGTAGATACGGTGATTGTTAAACTAGGTATCAGCTTTAAAAGAAATTCAGACTGTAGAATACACAAAGTATTGCATATTTGCTAAATGCTAGTGAGTAGAAAACATGACTTAGTTATATGTCATTACTTTATTTTCCAGAAATTGTGCATCTTTGACAGTTTTGGAACCCTAGTGTTTGCAGTATTTATGGGAATATGGGGTAAGTTACTTTACTTTTTTTTTTTTTTCAGTTTACTTTTGCATCTTAACACTAAAAAAAACCCCAAAAAAACCAAAAAAACACTGGAGATCATACAATCAGCTAACTTAATACCATTTCATAGTTTGATATATGCTATCAAAGTAACCCAGTTTCAGGACTTTGGATTGCCTAAGCTTCAGCTCCCTTAGAACTCAATTTATAATCCGTAAGTCCATTTTACGAGTTACCACATAAAAAAAACTCCTTCAAAATATGGTTGCTTAAAGCACACATTTATTATTTCTCATGACTCTCTGCATCAGCTGAGAGGTTCTCCAGTCACGTGCTGGCTCAGCTGATGTAGGCAGTGAGCCTGCAGCTTCAATGAGGGAGATGGTCTGGCGGTCGCCAGGCTGCTTTGGTCTACAGGGCTCACCTGGGCTGCCTCATCTTGCTTCTACATGATGCCCTATCCTCCAGTGAGCTAGTCCAGGATTCTTCACATGGTGGCTTTAGGCTTCCAAAGAGAAGCAAGAGAGGACAAGCCCCAATGCGCATTTTTTGAGCCTGCGTTTGCATCAAGTTTGTAAATGTCCCATCAGCCAAAGTAGGTCATGGCCAAGCCAGCAACAATGTGAGGAGGTGGGAGGCCTACCCAGGGACTTAGATGCAGGGAGGCATGGTTCATTGGGAGCCATTATTGTAACAGTCCCCACAGCTGTGGTCCACCTTGACTTACATGGGGTTGGGGTTCAGGTGAAGCCATACAGGAATTACTGGTAAGCTTTCTTCTTTATATTCTTTTATATGAGCAAGTATTTATTAAGTTATGTGTTATTCTTATAATAGTAAATAATAAATTCTGTTTAATAAGTAAAACAGATATAGTCCTAAAAAATATATATATATTTTTTTTTTAAGATTTTATTTATTTGACAGAGAGTGAGAAAGGGAACACAAGCAAGGGGAGTAGGAGAGGGAGAAGCAGACTTCCCACAGAGCAGGGAACCTGATTCAGGGCTCAATCCCAGGACCCTGGGATCATGACCTGAGCGGAAGGCAGATGCTTAACGGCTGAGCCACCCAAGCGCCCCCCCAAAATATAATTCATATGTGGATGTTTTAACACTATAGTTATATTATTTACTTTGAATAGCATCATTGTAATGAGGCAATTGTCATTTTTTTCTAAGTGCAAATATTTAAATGTTAATGTAAGCATTCTACCGTAGAAGAAAAGAATTCCATTTTCAAAAACAAATTCTTTCCAATTTTACTGTGTAAGTTAAGGGGGAAGTAGAGCTCAGGTTGTAGCTAGTTGGGGGAAAAAAGTGACTCAGATCTCTTACTCTTGAGAAGACAGCACGTGAACGCGAGCATCTCACAGTGCTTTTCACGTGTCCTTGAGAGTGTTTCCTTTTGCAGTGGCTGTGCCTGTTAGAAGTCACCAGATGGATCACAGAATAGACGATCCAACTGTTCTGGACAATTCTTAGAGATTAGTTGCCAGTCCTGGATAAAGAGAACTTTAGGATGGACAAACCTATCTACAAAGTTACTGTCTTTTGCGTATTCAACATGTTGTGGCTAGAGACCAAACACTAGCTAATATTTGACATGTAGAAGAATAAAGATCAAATTCGAGGATCAAAATCCTCTGTACTCCTCTATTATAAAATATGTTATTCCCCACCCCGTGCCCCTCCTCCATCCCCCCCTCCATCCCCCCATAAGAGCACAGGTACTGAACACATGGGTGGTGCTCGCTTTACCTATTATCCTAACCTTTGGCTTAGCACTGATTTGTAATGTACAAAACTCTGACACATCTGTTGAACTCCATATACTTATGGATGTTGACAGCCCTAATTTAGAAATACATTTTTTTAAGATTTTATTTATGCACTTTAGAGATAGAGCACAGGCAGGGGGGAGGAGCAGAAGGAAAAGGACAAGCAGATTCCTCAGCGTGCAGTGACCCCGACCCAGGGCTTGATCCCATGACCCTGTGATCACAACCTGAGCTGAAATCAAGAGTCAGATGCCACCAGGCACCCTGAAAACATTTTATTATTATTATTATTTTTAAAGATTTTATTTATTTATTTGATAGAGGGACAGCAAGAGAGGGAACACAAGCAGGGGAAGTGGCAGGCAGAGGGAGAAGGAGAAGGAGGCTTCCCACTGAGCAGGGAGCCTGACATGGGCCTGGATCTCGGGACCACAACCTGAGCCAAAGGCAGATGCCCAACCAACTGAGCCACCCAGGCCTCCGAAAACATTTTAAATAAATCAAAAATATAAACGAATTTTGGCACTGGAAAGACAAACCTGCCATTTCCCAGCTAACCTTGCTTTCTGTGATCACTAACTATACTGGGTTTATTGAACTGACTTAAGCATATTGAGCTGATTTTATGTCATCAGATTTTAGAAGGCAGAAAACATTTCAACACTGCTTGTAGCGCCATATGTATATCTTTAAAGATATGTATGTATGATGAAGTCCTTATTTTAAGTGTCTTATATTGCCTTTCCTGCTATGTCTGCATTATGAGAACCACTGCTGTGAACCTTGTTATAGAACATCAGAAATTGCAGAACAAAAGAGGTGGGAGGACCATGTGAAGTCTTTTATTTCACCACCATTCATAGTCTTTTTTTTTTTTTAAGATTTTATTTATTTATTTGACAGAGAGATCACAAGTAGGCAGAGAGGCAGACAGAGAGAGGGTTGGGGAAGCAGGCTCCCCACAGAGCAGAGAGCCCAATGCGGGACTTGATCCCAGGACCCTGAGATCACGACCTGAGCCAAAGGCAGAGGCTTAACCCACTGAGCCATCCAGATGCCCCTCCACCATTCATAGTCTAGTAGCATCTCTTTTGTCCCCAGATCTATTTGAGTATTTTTACTGTTTCTGTTCCCTAGGAATTATAAAAGTTGAAGGTCGAAAACCTTTTGTAATAAATGTAGTACATATCCTGTACTTACCTGAATAATATCTACCTTTCAGGCCCCACCAGGCCACACATTCATACTGACTCAAGTCCTAAACACCAACCCAAGGCTAAATAAAGTGCCAGTTCTTAGCATATACCCTTCTCCGTCCTGCTTGTTGCTTTGTACCTACTTCTGCTGGATTCTCCCTGGCTCCAGGCTCTTGGCGGCATGGCTCCATTTTTAATGTTCACCTTTGAGTTCTAGGCTGGGCCTCGTGATTTCCAGAAAAACACCAGATACTTGGCTTAGGGGGAGCTGGGGAATCGGGAAGGCAGTCCCCTAACCAGCTACACTTGGAGATCACCGAACTGCTTTTGCTGGTTAGTTCCAGAGCTACACTTCTCCTGCTGCATGCACACCAGCAAAGTAACAAAGTTCCTGCAACTGCCTCTGCCTCCATTCAGCCCCGCTTCTGGTTTAAGTGACACACACATGCGCCTGACGGGCATTTTATAAAATCACACCAGGAACCTGCACAGCAAGAGTCTGAAAAAATGTATTATTATTATTTTTTTTAACCTGGTCTTTTAGTGTAGAAGTTGGAATAAAGGCTGAGCAAGTTCATCTGCCCTACTCAGCTTTGTGACTAAAGAGGTCTGAATGGTTTCAAGGCCCAGTAAAGTGGCCTGGCTCTCCAGCAGCAAACTTACAGCAGCTGGAACGCTACCATGGGCTCGTGTGTGCGCCTTGTCCTTGGACGGTGCTGGATATAACCACCCACGCTGTAGATGGCGGTCTTCTTCATGTGATGCAGCCTTCTTTTAGATGTAATGACACCATGATTGAGAGGACAAGCTGTTCTTGATTCCCAACGTCCCAGGCAGCTTTCCCTCTCCTCTCATTACATGTTGATGTAAGAGTCCTAACTGGGTCTCTCTAATCAACACGAGCCTCATGGTGTGTGGTTTGCCGGAGAACATAGGGCAGTGCTCCCCACCAGAGCGGGGAAAGATCGAAAGACACAGAGCAGGAAACTCTGGTCTGACATGGCACCCAGTCACCCTAGTTCCTGGTGCCCTCGGGGTGGGACACTGAGCCACATGAGTCAGCAGGGATATCGTCCAGCAACATTCTAAAACCACGGGTGATAAACAACGTGCACCCAGCAAAGTAGTACCCAAGGTTCTGTAGACCTCCCCTTCCAATACCCCGTTACGCCTCGCAGCAGGAGGCTTGAGGAAGTACCCCGTGGTGAGTAAGCACAGCTTGGGCTCTGCAGCCAGAACTCCAGGCCTCCAACACTGTCATCTCGGGCAGGTGTTTTAACCTTTCTGTGCCTCCCTCTCTCTGTGTGTCTGAAATGAGGAGAGTAATAGCAGTTGCCGCTGAGGGGTGGGAGGGCTTTTATACAGATGATGCCATTAAGCTGGCAACAGCCCTGTGAGGTGGGTCCCCCTATCCCTGTGTCGCAGAATGGGAAACCGGGGGCTCAGCACGTTGGAACATGTCGACCAGGAGTCACATCTAATAATTGTTGGAACCAGGATTTGACCTCAATTCCAACACCCAGCTTATTTCTACTCTCACTCATCATTACTGGAAAATGAGTAAAGTCACAACCAAAGCTGCTGGGAAGTGAGTGCTTTATATTTTAGCTCTCTTTAGCCATTGGGGAGTGCAGAGTTCCTGCTGCTCACAGCCCCGCCCCAGGAGATCCTCCTGTGTCTCTGGCTGTCCTCAGGCGGTTGTCCTCAGGCGTTCTGCAGTATGGCTGGCCAGCCTCTCTCTACTCTCTCCTCCTGCAGTTCTCAACCCTGATGATAGACCTTTTAAACAAAAACAAAACACAGTGCTTATGCCTCATTCTAGTCTAGTAAAGTCAGAAACTCAGGAGTGTTGTCTGGGCTCAGTGTTTTGTTTTGTTTTTTTTTTTTTTTAAAGCTCAAGTGCTTTTCATGTGCAGCCACACTGAGAACTACCCTTCTACACCTCATTTAATGATCTCATCTGCTCACAGCCTCAGTTAATGCTTTATAAAGTTTCCAGCTTAGCCTAGATTTTTCTTCCAAGTTCTAGATGTTTACCTACCTACTGGACGTCTCTCCTGTGGCCCAGAGGCACCTGATTAGAACCAAACCTGTTAACTACACTCCTATTACTGCCCTTCTTATTGTGGATAATGGCCCTAGAATTTAGGGCATCACCTCACTTTAGCCAGAAACATGATTGGCATCCTAGACCTCTCCCTCCCCTTTACACCTCTGCATCTGACCATCCTACCTGCCAAACATGTTGTGTTCTCTCTCCTCCCCACCCAAGCAGCCTCATCATGTACCTGCTGGCAGGTCTCCCTGCCTCTAGTCTCTCTAGAACTCCTGCAGTGTCCCCTCTACCTTGAAGTTACAAAAGGGTCACTTAAGGCATGGAGTCCTTTGTGACGTGCCCCTGCTCTCTCTCCACCGGCTGCCCCACATTCCTCACGACACTGTACACTCACTTCTAGATATTTGCTGTTTCTGGAAAATACCTGATTCTCTGGCTTCCTTGCCTTTGTATGTGTGGCTCCTTCAGGGGAGGTGACCTTAATGTCCCAACTTCACCTGATCAGCTCTAAGTCAGTCATCTGCAGTGGTCCCCTCCTCTGGGAGAACCTCGGCCACACGTTGGTCACATATTCTGGCTCTGCGCTCCCAGAGCCACCTGTGCTTACTTTGATGGGAACCCTCACTAGTCTGCTGTAGCTGTCATGTCACCATAATTCCTGCACATCTAGGAACTCCTTGAATCAGGCCTATGTCTTTTCTCCTTATGGTCAGCACATAAAAGTACTTGGGTGTGGAACAGTGGCAAATCCAGAATTTTCTGTCTAGGAAAGGCGTAGGGGTACCAGTCTGATCGAAAGAAGGGTTGAAGAGATTTACCCTCAGACTACATTTTCAATCACTACTTGATATTGTTTCTATTTAGTATTTTAAGTTCCAAGCTTTGAAAGATAGTAAAGATTTTTAAAAATAGTTTCATTCATACTTCACACAAGGTTGAGAAAAATATCAGATTTCCATATTTAAGAATAGTCTTTTAATTTAGGGTGGCTTGGGTGGTGGTAAGTAGAGATTTGAGGACTACTCAGGTGCTCCCCATCAGGCCCTCAAGAAAGAAGAGGGGGATGTAGGTATGAACAGGCTGAAGGATGGACAGACCATAAACTGATTCTTGAATTACTGTAGTTATTTGTGGTTTTTTTGGTGGGCAATAAAGTGCTAGTAGCAGATGCCTTTTTTTTTTTAAGATTTTATTTTATTTTATTTGATAGAGATCACAAGTAGGCATAGAGGCAGGCAGAGAGAGAGGGGGAAGCAGGCCCCCCCTGAGCAGAGAGCCCGATGCAGGGCTTGATCCCAGGACCCTGAGATCATGACCTGAGCCCAAGGCAGCAGCTTAACCCACTGAGCCACCCAGGTGCCCTGCAGATGCCTTACATTATATAACTTGTGTTATATAATGTAACTATAATAATCACTGTACTCTTCTCTTTTAAACATTAGTGTCCCCTGTAAATTAGACTTTACTGACCGTGTATAAAAGTGTTATGGGTAATTATAATCATAATAATTTGGTACAGATTTCTGAAACCTCAGTCACCGATGAACCACATGCTCCTGTTCTCTCTCTGTTAGTCACCTTGTTTTTGGAGTTTTGGAAGCGGCGCCAGGCGGAACTCGAGTACGAGTGGGACACAGTCGAGTTACAGCAGGAAGAGCAGCCCCGGCCAGAATACGAAGCGCAGTGTACTCACGTGGTGATCAATGAGATCACTCAGGTAAAGAGAACGTTAGGTAGATGCGGCTTAGTCTGTGTACACGGTGGTTCTCAGCTGTGGTGTGCACTGAGATCACCTGGGGGCCTTGGAAAGTCTCGATGCATAGGTCCCATCACTGTATACTCTGGTGGTCCTTAGTGGCCTGGGGTCTGTCCTGGACACAGGGATTTTGTAAAGTTTCTCTGGCGATTGTAATATGTAGCTGAGGGGAAGAAGTATTGCTTAGAACAGTGGACATAGGAGATAAATGTGACGCCTTCTTTCATAATAAAAGTAAAATTGGGGAAAAGAAAATTAGACTGCAACAGAAAGGTAGAAAAAAAGATGCACTGGTCTGTGTCCTTTCTTTCATATCAATAAAAAATGCAAACGAGAAAAATTAGACTCTATGACATCATTGTATAAGGAAGGACACATTGGATTTTATAGTTGATTTTCCATTTTTCACATGCCCCTCCTTCTGACAACCCCTTTTCCATTCAGACCAGCCCGCTGCCCTCTGTGCTGCTCTAAGCTTCCGGGACTGCTCCACCTTCTGGTTGGGATGGTCACAAGATTGTGCAGCTCTCTTCCAAAAGTTGGAGAAAGGGTAGAGGGAGAAGGGAAACATTCATTGAAGTCCAACTATGTTTACGCCTGTGCTCGGCATTTTATATAATTGGAAAGGTAGATTTGCTTCTGCTACTGCTGCTGCAAAAATAAAAAAATGAAACTGTATCTCTCTACATATATATTCCAAAGCCAGTGAAAGGTAATTTTTGAATCATCTGCATTATTGCTCCTTTCCATCAACACAGAAAATGTAGAGCTGATTATACTTGCAGTCATCAGCATAAGGACAGTCAATCCAGAATACGAATAATTCTTGGAAAGCAAATGCTTTTACCAAGAGCATCAGAAAATGTCCCTAAGTATAGATTTTATAAATTGAACCACAGATTTATAGAATGCCAACACTAAAAGGGACTGGAGGGAGCAGTTCAACCTCCTCATTTTATAAATGGAAAAAAATGAGGTTCAATTATCAACAGAAGGTGACATTTGTCTTTTACAATGTAACAAGCTTCAAATAATTCCCATTATGTATCATTCTCACTGTTTTCTATGGAAGATGATGAGGTCAAACCATGTGTTGTTGGAAGACTATACATTCAGAAATGAAAGAAACTTAGATAAAATTTGATGCTGAAAATGCCTTTTAAATACTTTTAAAAAGTTATAATATTGGCATCATAGAAAAAGTACTAAAGAAAAGAAAACTTAGTATTTAAAATTGCCAGCGAGTAAGTTAAATTTCCATTGAAACATTGCTTGTTAAAAAATTGAAGATGAAGGTTCATTTTTCTTTCTCTTTTTTCTTCATGTTCCTTTTGTTGCTAATGCACCCTCCATTGGTTTAGTGTGGAAATGAAGTGGTGGGAATGAGACGGCGTGCAAACCAAACACAGCAACTTACTAGCTGAGTGGTCTTTGACAAATGATCTAACTTCTCTATGCCAGAGTTTCTTCAGCTATAAAAATGGGAATAATAGAGTTGCTTCCTCACACAGTGTAGTAAGGGTTAATTGAATTAATGGGTAGAACCTACTTAGAATAGTACCTGGCATAGAGTAAATGTCGTGGAAGTATTTGTAGCTATTATTATGCCACAGCTGCTCATATAATCCAGGTAAATCTTGAGAAGTATTGTTCTCTTCTCTTAAAAATTAAATGTATTCTTATGGGCCATGGAAACTCTGAAAATTCATAACTATACCAAATTAATATATAAAGCTCATCCAAGAAGCACCTAATAGATAACCTAGTATTTGCAGACACCCGTGAGGCTTCCTGTCCTGCCCTGGCTCTATGCTGTCGTTGCTGCCATGGCTAACATCTCCAAGGAGCTCAGGAATGTAGCTCTACAACTTAGCATTGTCACATACCCAGGCTCCTGAGCTCAGGTCATGGCAGACAAACATTTCATCATTCATGCTTGCATTTTCAAAAAACATTAAAATGAGCCCTGCAGTTGCCTTGTTGTGCATGTGTTTGAAATTAACAACAACAAAAAAAAATGCAGTTCTGGGGAAGGGGGTTATGTTTGGACACGAATTTTTCCAAAAATTAAGCCTAAGATTTAGAGACCAGTCAGGAGAAAAAAATCATTTCACCAGGGTCCTCCTTTGATTGACTAGACTTTTTTTTTCTTTTCTTTTCTTTTCTTTTCTTTTCTTTTCTTTTCTTTTCTATTCTATTCTTTTTTTTTTTCTTTCAGGAACAAGAGCGTGTTCCCTTCACTACCTGGGGAAAATGTGTCCGTATAACCCTCTGTGCAAGTGCTGTCTTCTTCTGGGTAAGTCTGTCACATACGTTTTAATATCTAATTGTAAATATCCAGGAAACTCAAGGCAAGTTGGAAACCATGTGGTCTCATAGAATTATTTCCGGAGAACCACTCAGCCACCACATGGAGCAGCTCTCAGTATCTATCCACTCACAGTGGCTCTTCCAGTTCCTTTCACCTCCTTGATTTAAATCAGATGAGTGGGTCCAGATTTCCCAGTTTCTGGTGAAGAGACCAAGTGGGAGGCATTAGGAATTTTAAAATTTTCTGACAGGAACAACTAAAATACAATGTCAAGGAATAGCCTTAAAAAGATAATAGGAACTATCAAAACATAAAAACTACTGAAAGATATAAAAGAAGACTGAAACAAATGATTATAGATAAAAAAATAATATTTCTAAAATATCAGGACTTATCACATTAATTTGGGGTTTATTATTAATAAAGTCATTAGTAATATAATCATTAGTAATATATTGAGAGTTTTATTGGCTCAAAATAGCGAAATTAGAAAAGAGGATGTGAAGCCCAGATACAGGCTCTCATATCAGTAATAATTTAGTATATGAGAAGGGAGGCTTTATAACTCATGGAATAAGTGAAGATTATTTAATAAATGGCAATGGAGGGCCACCTGGGTGGCTCAGTGGGGTAAGCCTCTGCCTTTGGCTTGGGTCATGATCCCAGGATCCTGGAATCGAGCCCAACATCAGGCTCTCTGCTCAGCAGGGAGCCTGCCTCCCTTCCTCTCTCTCTGCCTGCCTCTCTGCCTACTTTTGATCTCTGTCTGTCAAATAAATAAAATCTTTTTTAAAAAATAAATAAATAAATGGCAATGGAATACTTGTTAGCTCTTAGGAAAAAAGAGATTAAAACCATACTGTGAATACATATTGTAATTCCAGAAATATTCGGAAGGTAACATCACAAACTGGAAATAAATATTGATGAACATGCAATTTTTGCATTTAAAAAAACTTCCTAAACATCACGGCAGTGAAAGAAGTTTCAGAGGAAAATCTACAGATTCCCACACATTGGTATCATTCTAAGCTTAAACAAAAACGGATAAAATTTTTGTTAACAATGAGGGCAAAGGGTTAATACCTTCAATACATAAGAAGTCCGGATCACTTGTAAGGTAACACTAAAGATCTCAAAAGCTGAGGAGGCAGAGAACAGGAATACCCTTTCACAAAAGGAGAGATACCCTGGCAAATGTCAGATGTCAATACTAATTAAATCCGTGCCCATTTAAATGAGATACAGTGTTTCACCTCTCACCTGAGAAGGCTCAGTGTTGGTGAGGTGCAGTGATCAGCTACTTTCCTACTTAGAGTGTGAGAATTTTAAGCTGCCCTGGTCTTCTTAAAAAGCAGTTTGCTAGTAAGTATCATGAGTCACAGATATTCATGTGCTTTAATCTACTAATTCAGCTTTTAAAAACCTTTAATAAGGAGGTATTTCAAAATGGTAAGAAAAGTAAAGATTTAGTCACATGTATTTATTGCAAATATACACATTTATTTATGTGGTTTATTTATATGCATTATTATATATAAAAACATCTCAGCCAAAATATCCTACATCTAATCCTTCATACAATTGAATATGGTATAGCCATGAGAAAGTATGTCCATGAAAATACTTTATTACATGTAAAAATGTTATGGTTTTGAAAGGCTTAAGAAAAGGATAAAATATGTAAATGATCTTTAATATGCAAATAATGCATAATTCTGAAGGAATTGTGCCAACATAGAGATGGTACATACATTTTTTTCTATTTTTCTTTTTTTATTTTTATAGTTAGGAGTCATTCAGTTGTAGGTGATGGAAAGTCAATCTTCATTTGATTTAAACTACAAAATGAGAGTGGGTGGCATTTAGCATTTATTGGTTCCTGTAACTAAAACTCCCAGGTCTGAGGTATGGCTTCCATGAAGGGTAGTTAATTGCAGCCCAGATGACATCCTGGGCTGTGTGTTTTGTTCTGCCTTCATTCTGTGTCCAGTGGTCTCTTGGCTTGGTGGTTTTGGGCACTACCTTATGATCTCAGAATGGCTGCAGGATTTCAGATCTCACATCACATGCAAGCCAAGAGAGTTTTCTGTTAGCAGCTTCCTCTTGACAGAGCAAGTTTCTCTTCCCCATAGACAATAGCAGATCTCTCCTCACATCCCACTGGCTCTTATTAAGTTATTTGTCAGGCCTTGAATCATTGGTGAGTCCAGAAGGATGAGATACCTATTTGTCTCAAACCAGTCAGGATGTACCTGTAAAGGCGGGGGAGCGGGGGAACAATCCAGTGCAAACCTTAGGACTGAAAATGAAGGAGAGTTCATTCCGCCAAAGCAAGAGCTGGGTCTGCTGCTAAGACTGGGAACAGATCCAAGTCAGCAAGAGCAACCAGTGTCCACTGTGGTATAATTTCAAGTGTTCCAATAATCCTATATTAAAGTTGTAATCAGAAAAGATTCATAAGGAGCTTGAGAATTAAAATCTTCCTCCTGGGAAGATATATTGAACCTGTCACGTGCCCTGAAGAAGTATGGAAACAAGTCAAGTTTGTAGAAGCTCTGAAATGAATTGGAATTCATTTCCTAACCCACGTAGGAGGCAGTGCCATGTAGAGGTTAGTGGGACTCTGGAGTCTCTGAGTATCTCTGTTCTTTCAGTTACTAGTGGCTTAATTTGGGTCAAAGTCTCAATCTCTTTGGCTCTTTTTCCACTGTAAAAGATACCATGCTACCTATCTCCCAGGGCTGTTGTTGAGGATTTTAAAAATATGTGTGCTGAGGTGAAGAGTAAGCATTTAAAGAATCTCAACTATTATAATTACTTAACAATTCAAATTATTATGGAGATTTTAAAAAATATATACATGATTTTTTTTTTAAGATTTTATTTATTTATCTGAGAGAGGGAGACAGAGATAGCGAGAGAGAACATGATCGGGGGTGGGAGGGAGAGGCAGAGAGGATCTGGGAGTCTGCTGAGCAGAGAGCCCGAGCAGGACTCGATCCCAATACCCTGGGATCATGACCTGAGCTGAAGGCAGACGCTTAACCGCCTGAGCCACCCAGGCGCTCCTAAATATATACGATTTAAATGGCCAATATTTGTTGTGGTCAGAGAGGAGGGCGGGATATACCTTCTCTAATACATTTTTCTCCACCTTGGCTAATTTTCACTTGTACTGATGCACACAAACATGTCATTCCTTTCACAAGTATTAAGCCCTTTCTGTGAAGGGAAGGAGATAATGAGAGAGATTAGAAGAGGAAATATCATGCCTTCTCTACAAACTGATGGCATTAAAAGTAAGAAAAACCTCTTATTAATAACATGTCAGTTGCCATATTCACAGCTACCATTTACATAGTACTTTTCATGTGCCTGGGCTTAATGTTAAGTGTTTTTACCTGGGGTAACTCATTAAAGCCTCACAACAATCCTATAAGTTAGTTCCCATTAGGATCCCTCACTCTAAGGGCAAAGAAATTGAAACCTCAAAGGCTAAGTAATTTGCACAAGGTCCCACAGCTTGAGGCAGAGCTGGGATTCAAATGCAGGAAGCTGGCTCCAGGGCCTCACCTATAATCTCTCCCCAGGTGAAAACCAGGCACCCTCTGTTGCTATAAACAACACCAAGTGATTTGCTTGGCCCTGAAGTGCACAGTGTCAGTAGCTTTTCTCTCTGGTAGCAGTCCTCACGGGCAGTCAGTCATATTGAGTACATGCTTTGGAGTAAGTCCAAGAAAGTAGACGTAGGGGAAGCAGTTTGAAAAAGGGACCTTCAGGGACGCCTGGGTGGCTCAGTTGGTTAAGCGGCTGCCTTCGGCTCAGGTCATGATCCCAGAGTTCTGGGATCGAGTCCCACATCGGGCTCCTTGCTCAGCAGGGAGCCTGCTTCTCGCTCTGCCTCTGCCTGCCACTCTATCTGCCTGTGCTCACTCTCACGCTCGCTCTCTCTCTCTCTCTCTGACAAAAAAATAAAATCTTTAAAAAAAAAAAAAAGAAAAAGGGACCTTCAGTGCGTGTTACTCAGGGGCCAGAGAAAACCTGCCTAGTGAGGAAGCGATGTCCTACTAACTATGTACAAATGGCTTCAGACCCCCTCCCCAACATGGGGTCTGTGCTGTCAAAAATGCAGCAGAGTAGTGAAATGAATCTTGTGCAAAGGCAGGTATGAATAACTGCCAGTTTCAGATCTTAAGATCTGAACGTGAAAAGCATGTGCCGCCTTCATCAGCAGATACCTTGTTGTCCTTTCCAAATTCCCTGTGGGCATGCTGCAGCCTCCCGGGTCCTGTTCAGAATCTCGCCTCGTGCAGGTGACTAAGACGCTAGCACCTACTGACCCTTGAACCTGTGCTCGGTTCTCTGTTGGAAGGAGAGCTATCCCCTTAATGGACCATAACTGAACGAAAACTTTATTGCATACCCTCAAGAATGCCGTAACTGTAGGAGAGATGTTTTCATGCATTCTACTATTCCAGTTTTTCCTCATCTGAAGATACTTTTTTTTTTTTTAATAGACCTTCATTTTTGGAGCAGGTTGGGGTTTGCAGACAAACTGCCCAAAAGTACAGGCTTCCCTTAGACTCCTCCCTCCTTGTGCAGTTTCTCCCCTTGCTTTCATTTTCACTCAGTGGATACATACTCTTTTGACCTCCATCATTCCTTTCCCCTATTTTGGAAATTTAACATGCCCAGGTTCTACCTGTCTCATGGCCGTTGTGCGAGAATCCCATTATCCCACACATGCCCCTGTCCATTCACACAGGGGTTCATCTTTAAACATAAAAATACTCCTCGTGAAGCTCACGTTGGTGTGTTTGTTGTGCTTCCAGATCCTGTTGATCATCGCCTCTGTTATTGGGATCATTGTCTACAGGCTGTCGGTGTTCATTGTGTTTTCTACCAAACTTCCTGAGACCTTGAATGGGACAGACTCAATCCAGAAGTACCTGACCCCTCAGACAGCCACGTCTATCACAGCTTCCCTCATCAGCTTTGTCATCATCATGATTCTGAACATCATATATGAAAAAGTAGCCATCATGATTACGAATTTTGGTAAGGTCCTGTTACAGCTTTGGTCATCTGTAAGACATTTTTAGAACCTGGTGAAATAAGAGAGTCTGTCTCTTTTAGGCATTTCAATTTCAACATGTTACAAATTTTTGAAAATTTCAAGTGTAAACATACTTCATCTAACCTGTGTGGGAAGTGAATTATCTACAGCTTTGCATTAGCAAAAGGGACAAAGCAAAGACAATCATTAGAATGTCCAAGCTCTGTGTAAACAGATCAGCCCTGAATAATATTTTCAATTATGTTAGATCACGTACCCTATTGTTGAAAGTAAATAGTCTCTTTATTGCAAATAAGTGGAATAGGGTCATGGTTCCAGTGGCAAATATGCTCCTCTTTTGCTGAGAGGACAAGTAATCACACTGTTGCGTGGCTTCCCCCCATGCTGTTCATATTAATATAGCTCTGTTCTCATCAGCTCCGGCTTTTGTAATAAATGTTTCTCTCTCCCTGGCTTGCATCCCAGGCAGCTGCTTGGTGGTCAGAGTTAAGCACTCCCCACATGCTGCATATGCCTGGGTCATTTTCCGAATGGTCTGCTCAGCGGTCATCTTCTGAAAATGATCAGACTGATTTAAATTCTAAACTAGAAGAATGACCTGTTTTGTCTTCTCCAACTGCTTGTAACAAGTTCCCCCTTGTTTGTTTCAACAGCCCTACCTTATCGCAATTCAGGAAGACAAGAGAGTATCATTTAGCAGGGCTGTTCAAAAAAAATTTTTTTTTTGTCCACTTAGACCTGAGAAAGCGCGGCCTTGTCCATTTGATAATACCGGGCTCGTAAAAATTAAGGAATCCTTGAATATTTTTGCCATATGGGATATTGTATTCTCGGCGGAAGGGGGAGGGAGGGAGGACTCTTAAAACGATGTGTAAACTTGGAATTAACACAGTAGCTATATTAAGGAATTCAGAACAGCTTAAACGGAAACAGTGTGAATTGTATTTGTTTTTTTTAAAAAAAACATGTTAACTCATGTATCCGTGTCTTGGGTTAGGGTCTCAAAGCTGTTCACAGTTTTAAAATCTTACCTTTAATCTTACAGAACTCCCAAGGACGCAGACAGATTATGAGAACAGCCTGACCATGAAGATGTTCCTATTCCAGTTTGTCAACTACTATTCTTCATGCTTCTACATCGCGTTCTTTAAGGGCAAATTTGTAGGTTATCCAGGAGACCCCGTCTATTGGCTGGGAAAATACAGAAACGAAGAGGTACGAACTTGGAACTGGATTCTCTTGACAATTTAAGCTGCTTCCCATTTCCTCCCGGCTGCCCAGTGAAGAGTTTCTTCCCGGTATAGTCTAGAGAGTCTCTTCACCTCAACAGAAGAATATCAGCAAAAAAGAAAAGTAGTGACCCAATTTCATATTTGACCCATCTAGAATTTAAATGGGATTTTCTTTGTCATATTCTAGTGTGACCCAGGTGGCTGTCTCCTTGAACTGACGACGCAGCTGACGATAATCATGGGAGGCAAAGCAATCTGGAATAACATACAAGAGGTGTTACTCCCGTGAGTATGAAGCTGTGTAATCCTGGGGCTGTGGCTGAGGAGAGAACAGCCCCCCCGTCCAGTCACTTGCCTGCATGTTCACACAGCTGCGTGCCCACCTCTAAAATGGAGTAAACTCTATTTATTATAGGTCTCCAGACAAGATGGTCCGACCAACGGTATAAATGTATCCAGTGTTTGATAATTATGTTACAAAGGAAAAAAAATCATATTTAACTTAAATCCCCATCTGCTACAGTTTATGCCTATTAGCCCATTATTGGTAGCAAACTGATCCTAGTCTTGGAGACATGACCTTTGTTGAGGCTGTGAACTATGTATTTCCCCAGCTTTCATGACTTTCTGCTCCCTTATAGTATGCTTTAAAAACCAACAGTAGTAATTTGTTGAGTTCCTAGTATGTGCCAGGTCCCTTTATTAAGTGCTTGATAGATCACTCTCATTTAATCTTACAGACAATTCTTATTTTTATCTCCTTTATAAAAATGAAGATTCTGTGGCTTAAAGCAGTTAAATGATTTACCCATGTTTGCGTTATCCGCAAGAGGCTACTGTGGGATTCAAATCCAAGATCCCAGGACTCCAAATCCATGTGCTTTCAACCAGAGTTCTCTTGTGGTCCTCAGGCACAAGATTACATAATGTTTTAAGAGATAATCATCTAAAATAATAACCACAAATGTTTTGGCTTACTGTTCTTTCCCTAAGAAATGAGAGCAACAGATGTTAGCCAAGGTCACACTGCCCTTTTAAATCTTCACTTAAGCCCTATCTTATATCAAAGTGAAGAGTCCAGTGCTGTCTCAATTTCTGCACATTTTCAGGGGGCTTAGTATATTCCTTTTTTATTGCTGCTGAACAAATTACCACCAACCTAATGGTAATGGGAAGACAATAAAAAAAAAAAAACACAAAACAACAGATTTTAATACCTTACTTGTGACAGAAGTCACAAGTCTGACACGGGTTTCAGTGGGCTACAGTCAAGGTGTTGGCAGGAGCCATGTCCCTTTCAGAAGCCTCTGAGATGAATCTATTTGTTTGCCTTTTCTGGCTTCTAGGATTGTCCACATTCCTTGGCTTATGGCTTCTTTTCTCATCTCAGAGCCAGCCTTGTGGCTGTGTGTCTGACTTCTGTAGTCACTTCCCCTTAGCTCTTCCCTCTCTCCATCTTCCGCTTTCATTGACCCTGGTGATTACACTGGGCCCACCTGGATGATCCAGGAAAATCTATCTTAATGTCAGCTCATTTACAACCTTATTTCCCCCGTACCAGGTAACTTAACATATTCGTTTGTCCTAGGTGGGGGTTGTAGACATCTGTTGGGGAGCCATTTTTCTGACTATTCCACATAACTTTTCAAGATAATTTCTGGCTCTGAGTTTCTGTTCTCACAAAACTTCTGATCTATCCTCTGTCTTGCCTCCCACATCTATATTTTCTGCTTATGCCAACCCTAACGCCAGCTGTGGCCCCTCTCCTCAGTGTCTTCCAGAACCACTCACACAAGCGGCCTTTATTGACATTTGGGACACGGAGCCAGAAACCCAAACAACTTTAATTTTAAAATTTAAAAAATCCATCTTTTTAAAGTCTTTTGTCCTGTATAACTGTATGACTTTTTTTTTTCCTATTACCCTTCTTTGTAGCTTCAGACTCTGCTGCTTGTCTTCCCCCCACCACTGAGAACTTCCCTTTCTTTCTCTTCCCTCCACTAACTTCTCTCTCTTCCCCATTACCAAGTCCCTGTTCATTCTCTTTGCAGAACATTTAACCTCTTTTTTTTTTCCCCCCGTCTTTGCGGAGCAGAAACCTCCAGGTTTCAGTGTGTCCTTCCATGTCTCTTCACCAGGCTTCATCCTCCACCTTCCATGTAAACTGTCAGGGTCTGTCTCTAAACAGACACTCCTCTTTCCCCCCAGCTCCCTCCTCACCTCTCTCCCTCCTCATAGAAAAATGGATTTTGGTCTTAGCTGTAAAATTAATATTTTGGGGCTTTACTACACAGTAAACAACCCTTACCTTCGCTGAGTTCATATTCAGATTTTTCCAAATGAGTAGAAGTAGGTCATGCACAAATATTGGATATGAAAATAAATATATCAAATAGAGGAAAGGCTTCACTCAGATGAGTACAAAGCATTTTTCTGAAGGAAGTAGGCTGGTTATTTAAACCAAATTTTGATGACTAATTGGTTGTCAGAGAGCTATTTTCTAATTAAAAAAAATAAATAGTGGTGGTTGTGGGGGGGATGGGGGGACATGTATATTTCCTAAACTGGCACTGAGAAATTCATATGCAATGAAACTTGTTCACATGAAATATTTAAAAATAAGCGATGTATATAGTGTCCATGGCCGCTTTAATACCTGCACTTCAAGTGAGGCCATCATTGCAAAATTTTAGTAAGCTAAGCTTTTTGTTCAGCTCTTTCTACGCCTGGCCTAAAATACTTAAGCGCGGTACACTTTGAATTCTCTTCCCCTTGCCTGAAAACTGGGAATGCTAAATTTTAGCCACTTTAGAGAGTGACTCTGGCTCTTCCCATCGTTCTTCCTTATGGTAGGTGCCATTTTCCTTCTCACTCTTTCCACAAAAGTGAGAGAGAGTGCAGTTACTCTTGCTACCCAAAACTGTCCCCACCCCAAAAACACACAGGAGGTGAGAGAAAAACTGTGTAAGTCAGTAGCTGTTTTCACACCATTTGAGTATGACATAAGGAACATAACGAAATGAATGTCACCGTCAACTTGCCGCCTTCCACCGCCACCCCATTTGAGGTCCTCGGTGAGGATTCCTGGAGCATAGGAAGAAGCACCTCTTGCACTATGACCCAGGTCCCTTTGGGGTCCACCTGGCACCTAAGTCAGTACCTAGGATTTAACGGGCAGTCCCCAGCACCAGAGGAGTGAGTGAGTGAGCCATAGGCTTCAAATACATAACATCAGCAAAGTGACACAGTTGTTTGTTGGACCCAGAGAACAAGCTCAGAGCCCTTTCACCATCCCAGCCTCATTCAGTATTTTGATATTTGAGGCATGCTCGGGAATTTTATTCTGTGCCTGACAAAAGACTAATACAATTGCTGCATGAAGCTACTTACTCTGGAGAAATTTTTATGATAAATGTTAAGGAACATAATTATAGTTAAATATCTAAAATACCAATAGCATTGTTCTTTGGTGTTTAGATAATGGATGACTGTAATTTTCATCCATTATATGTTTTTGTATTTTTCACAATGGATATGCACTACTTAAAGAAAGTGAACTATTATAAGAAAAAATATCCCTTCTCAAGATCTGATTTGGCTAGAGGATGAACCAAAGACATTGAGTAAGGAACCTTACATAAAGCTATCCCTCACTGTTCACACTGACCCTTCACTTTCAGGAAGAGTAAAATAGATTCAGATACTGAAGGGTGCTTGTATTCAAAATTAGCAAGTGGGAATACTGTAGAATAGCCTTAAATAGAAATAGTGATTATCTGTACCATGTGGATTACATATGATAATGAAGAAACAAAGAGAAAATGAGGTGTAAAGTGCTTTAAGCCCTGCTTTATGCATAATAAGGACTTCAGGAAGGGTGGCTTTTTACAGTGCTGTTCTGTTATTGCTAGTATGCATGGTAAATTCCTAAGAAAACTATTTTGTAACCTCTGCTAGAGGGAGGAAGCTTCCAACCGTGGCCAGGGGAAGAAGTGTCTGGTATCAGTATTTTTAAAAAGTTATCTCAGTGATTCTACATGCAGTCAAGATTGAGATCTCTGCCCTAGATTCATAACCCACTGGAAAACGCAAAAGACCAAGGACTGTGATGGATGGATGAAAGCCCAAGATTTCCTGTTACCGATAAGTGGTTCAACTGAGGAAGATGGAACAAGAGGCTCAGAGTCTGTAGCTCAGAAAAGGAAGCTAGTCAGAAGGATTTCTAATATGACCCATTATGGGTGAGGGAAGGCAGTATGGTACCAGAGGGAAATGGGTAGATGAGCTGGTCATACAAGTGGTTGCCAGGACAGAAGTTTCATCCTCAGTCCAAATTGGAATGGATTTAGATCCCTAGTCATAAAAGAATGCTTCTCTGGAGCGTGGAGAGGAATCCCTCAAGAGGCTGAGGCTGGAAGTGTGAGCAAAAATAAATAAATAAGACAATAGAAACCAGGAGTCTCCAGTCTGGGTGTCCTGAAGGGTGATGGATGATGCCACCAGTGTCCCAAGGCCCTCATCATGCCCAAAGCTGCAGGTGCCTGACCTTGCCTTAGACTTGACTGATTACAGAGCTTTGGGTTGGGGCACAGGAAGGAGCACAGCAACAAGCCTTCCAGGTCATTCTAAGTGCTGAAGTGGGACCCACCCATCCAGACAGCATTGTGTCCCCAAGCCAAGATTCCAAGTCACTGAGGCTGGGTTTACCATCGGCCTCAGCCAGTGAGCCTGTATTGGTCAAAAGAAAATCCTGTGAAGGGGGTTTTGATGCATTAGGAAATGTGCTAGATACTTTATCTGTTCTGGATAATTAAATCCTGACAGAAACCCTGGACAGGATAGGCTTCAGTACCCCATTTTATTTTAGCATGACCAAAGTCAGGTAGTAAGCAGTGAAGTGTGGATTCGGATTCAGGGGTGTCCGAGACCATGTCCCTACCACTTCCCAAGCCACATGCTGTGTCCCTAATGTCACAGAAGAGAAAGAAGTGGTGCAAGATTGTGAAGCCAGGGGCGTGTTCTGTCATAGAGCAGTCGCCCCCTCGTGCGCCTCAGGGGGTGGTCGGTCGGGTTACCACAGATGTCTGGCATGACAAGCTGTTTGTAGCTCCTCTCTCCATGTGGGGTGCGTGTGCAGCACCCGCACGTGTGCACGTGCAACACCACTAGGGCTATCTTTAGGGTGAAGCCTTCTCAGTATCTGAATTTGAAAATCCCTGCGAGCATGTTGCTGGATCATCCACAGCTTAGCCCAGACATTTGTATTTGAAGTTGTTTGCTGCTGTCATGCCTCTTATGTTGCACTCCACGAGGAAACCACAAGCCAGCTGTTGCTTGAGGGGACAACAGTTCTTTAGGCTACAGGTGCACGCTTCGTGCCACTGCCAACTTCAATTTCTTTTCAGGAAAAATTGCCCTAAAAGCGGGGGTGGGGGGCGGGGGGAGGACACATTTGTCTGGAGGCATTAAGGAAGAAGGTAACATAAAAGACAACAGGCGACTCAGTGGGGCCGGTGTCCAATAGAGCAGAGCGTGGGGCATTGTCATTTCTCGGGTCCTTGATTTATTCAGCTTAAAATAGGGTCTTGGACCTGTTTCATCTAAAATGAAAATATATCCCCATTCTCTCAGAAACCTTTAATGGCTCTCCGCTTCCCCCAGAGTAAAAAATGCCCAGATCCTCATGGTGGTCTCTTGGGCTCCCCACAGCTCAGAACCACCATAGCAGTTTCCTGCTAACCCAGGACCACACCGGGCGCCATGCTGTCTGTTGAAGGAAAGTCAGGGGCCTGCTCCTGCCTCTGGGGCTCTGTAGTCACTGTACCCTTTGCCTCCTTCACATTTTTATTCAAATATCACTCTTCCACCTGAGCCCTTCTCTGCCATCACCCCTCTCCCCCTTCCACTAATGCAGACAATCTCCATTCCTTGCCCTGCCTCATTCTTCTCCACAGCAGGATCATCAGCTCCCGTACCATGTCTGCCTGTATTTTCTTCTCCGGTTATTTCATACTAGAAGGGCCATTTTGGATAATAGCAGCCAAATGGGGGAAAACAAAAAACAAAAACCTAAAGTTAATCAAATGAGAGAAAAGTATTTCTAAAAACTAACTACCATATGGAAAGGAGCTGGGAGAAAAAAACAGTAGCAGTTACGTTTTTAATAAAGCCTGGTACGTAGTACTGGTTTTCAAAATATCTGGGGGTAGAGAAGCAGAAATAGAAATTTAGCATGAAAACAAGCGATTAATTTCTTGGGGAGGTTGTGTGGTTCGCTTGAGAAATCTGCAAAATAATCGATACTATTCTAATTTATGGTTCGATCTTTTTGGCAGCTGGGTCAAGAACCTGATTGGACGATGTCGCACAGTTTCTGGAGCAGAAAAAATGACCCCGCGATGGGAACAAGACTACCACCTGCAGCTCATGGGCAAACTGGGATTGTTTTATGAATATCTTGAAATGAGTAAGTCCTTAGTGACGTAAATCATACTGGAACATGTTTTGGATCCCACATAATTAATTACCTGGCATAGTGAAATGGAAAAAAAAAAACGTGTTTTTCTCTACTAGATAAAATTACACAGTCAGGCTTTAAACTAAGATGACTGTGTGTATCTTTGTCGATATTGTTTGTACAGAGCTAAAGGTTTATTACTACGCAGTCCGATGGAAAACTCACTGAGGTCCACCCTCACCGTTCTCAGTGCGCTCTACATGCCATCTGAGAACGAACTCACAGCTATGACTAGAGGTGATTCAGCTTGGGCTGGAGTCCACACAGGCACAGCTGTTGGCCGATACACTTCTGAGTGAGTCATTTAATCAAGGCTGCACCGACAGCCTGCAGGAGCACGCTGTTTCCAGGCAGGGAGGATCACAGGGTTCCCCCTTTCACACCTCCCACCTACTTTTGACAGTCGTACCTATTTCTCCTGGCCCATCCTTTCTGTGTGGTTCCTTAAGTGACCTCATGGCTGATCACTGGCTTGAATTTAGAACTAACAGTGGGCTGGTTTGGAATTAAGATTGAGGACAGGCCCCTTCTTTCTTGAATGCCGTTGTCCACTTACGCAGTATTTGCCTAGGCTGTGTTTCTCTTCCGCTGGACTTGAATCTGAGCTCTTGGGTGTCTTTAAATGGACACATCTCAAAACATTTCCAAAGGAAGCACTGTCTTTTCTTTTCTTTTCTTTTTTTTTTTTTTTAAAGATTTTATTTATTTATTTGACAGACAGAGATCACAAGTAGGCAGAGAGGCCGGCAGAGAGAGAGAGGAGGAAGCAAGCTCCCTGCAGAGCAGAGAGCCCGATGTGGGGCTCTATCCCGGGACCCTGGGATCATGACCTGAGCCGAAGGCAGAGGCTTTAACCCACTGAGCCACCCAGGCACCCAGCACTGTCTTTTCTATATGCATGACACACTTGTATCCGTGGGATGGCTTACTATTTACATGTTTTATATCTTTGCACTTTCAGCTAACCACTGCCCTGAATTACAATTTTTTTAAGCTTAAGAGAATAGAAAACGAGGCACAACATTTTGGTTGATGGGCCTTGCTTTTAAACAGGGTTTTGTGTGTTTGCAAAGATACCCCTTTGTGGTTCCTGTTTACAAGTCTGCAGATAGAGGATGGTTTTATTAAATCACGTTCTATATATAATTGCTTTTAAAAATATACATTATACATGCAACACATCTGCTTCCTTCAGTGAGTGAAAGGTTTGTCTTATAGTTTCTTCAGTCAACAGTACTTTGCAGCCTGGAGTTTGATTTGAATTTCATTTTTGCTTTCATTATGTTTCGTGACCAGGTTCAGTTAAGGGCATAGCTTCAGTACATAATGTAGAAGCTGTATTTATTTATTTATTCTGTTCATTTTCAAAAAGACTATAAGACAATTACCTCTGATTCCAAAATGAGTCATAACTGTAATATTTCTTATTGGAGCTATTATCAGCATTAATAACAACAACATTCTGGGACAGAATATCATTTGTTATTTTAGTACCAAAAACATTGCTTGGAAAAAGTTATTTTTCTGTGGTTGACTAGTCAAATAGATAGTGTTGAAAGAAGTTATAGGAAAAGGTTGTGCTTTGGGGAGAAGTTCACATGACTTTGAGTTTCATAATCTCATTAAAATAATTACCAACAAAATAATTCGGCCTCATCCTACCCTATAAGAAAGGATGGAATAATAACTGTTAAAGACATTTTTTTTTAGATCATTGAATTGTTTTCCTATTATCTAACTAATACCAAATGAATTAGAAAAATTCATCTGTTGTTGAGAGTAGGCTGTCTGATTGGTATTCAACACCAGAGCAAATTCTACTTTTTGTTATTTTAGTTTGTGGGAGATAGAATTGCCAAGTACCTTTTGAATTATTTCTGTTTCTCCAAAATAAATACAGACTGCCTTTGGTCTCATCACCACAGCTCCTTCCTTCTGGTTTTCCCCATATCTGTGAATGACACCACCATCTACCTTTTTAATTATGCCTCCTAGCTGTTGAGGGAAACCATCTTCTGCCAGACAACCCTGGAGCCTTATACTCCGCCACCACCTCTGTTCCCCTCTGTCCAATGGAGAAGATTAGAGCTCCCCTCTGCCTAAAACACCCTTCTCTTCTCTACCTGAGGAATTCCTGCCAAGCCTCAGCAGTAACACTCAGCTTTTCACACAGATTTGCTGTTCTTTTCTCTAGGCATTAACAGCGCTTGCTTCCTGCCTTGATGGCATCTGGCTCTGTGTGTGCCTGTCCCCCCGGCTAGACTGATTCCCCTCGAGGTGGATACCAAGACCTTTGCATCTTTTAGCCCTCAGCTGGAACACCATGGTCTGGACCCGGTACTCATAAATATTTAAGTGACCTGAGCTTGGCATTTCAATACACACATACAGCTGTTAGTCGAGTTTGTGTTAACATGGCCCCCAGCATCCCAGTGAAGTTCTTTATGGCATGTCTTCGGGGTTTTATTTTTGGGTGAAATTTCTACTTTATTTATCTATTTCTGTCCACCATCCTTGGAGATGATTAAAGTAACCCTGGTGTGCTAACCAAAATTGCCTCCCCAGGTGTATGTTCCTACCTTCTGAGAATTCAGACACAGGATACAGAGAAAGAGCCTGTCAGTCTACAATCTGGAAGCCATAAGAAAACCATTCTGTGCTCCTAGCACTACACAGCATAGAAACTCTCTTGAGAATTCAGTGGTGGCTTCGGGGGGCAGGTGCCACAAATTAAATGCAGTAAAGTGGCAGAGTGGACCCTGTTTTTCTCTAGCCCTGCCTCTTCTACCCTTGTTAACTTGACCTCCTTTTCTTCCATCTCCAAGTTACTTTTTTAAAAGATCCATTGAAACAACGACCTTCCATTATTATTTTCTCCATCTAATTTACTATGATTACTGTCAGCACTTCAGCATCTTCTCGTACCCACCCCTTTTCCTGTCTCTCCAGTGCTCACCCCACTAAGCACCCCTATACTCTCTAGGACCCAGGCTTCTCTTCCCCCACTCCCTCATCTCTACTGTTTCTGCCTACCACCTGCTTTGATGCCCACCACCTGATGATGCCTTCTGTCTCTTTTTTCATTCATTCATTCATTCATTCATTCATCCAATAAACATTTATGGAGCACCTGCCATACCAAACACCGTATCAGTTGGTGGCGAAACCAAGTAAGACAGGGTGTCTGCCCTCACAGAGCCAAGGGACGAGATCAGACTTCCTAGAACAGGTGATACTTGAACTGGACGTTGAAGGATGGGTGCAAGTTGTCTATCTGAAGTATGGGAAAGGGACTAGACCTTTCATGCAGAGAGGCAGACCCATTTAAAAGTACCAGGGCATGAAACAGCTTGGCCAGTTCAAAGAGTGGCAAGTAAACAAAGTATGGTAAGAACAAAGGATCCATAGGTAGGACTATAAGGGAAGCAAGGGCTATGTCATAATGCTTGCTTAGCCAGGGGAGTAGAACTTATCCTTTTTTTTTTTTTTTTTTTTTTTAATATTTGTCAAAGAACAAACAAGCAGGGGGTGGGGCAGGGAGAGGGAGAAGCAGGCCCTCACTGAGCAAGGAGCCCAATGCAGGGCTCAATCCAGGACCCTAGGATCATGACCTGAGCCGAAAGCAAACGCTTAACCAACTTGAGCCACCCAGGCATCCCTAGAACTTATCCTTAATGAACTTATGCTTGGAATATTTGTAAGCAAAAGAATTATATAATGTTTATTTTGAAAAAGAATAGCTCATTCTGCTGCAGAATGAAAGGTATTTAGAATGAAAATGATATTTGGGGAAGCTACACCAGGCAACCCACACAATTGGGTAATGCCCACACCTAAGTAGAGGCGGTAGGCATAGGAGTAGAGATCAGGGAGACAGATTTAATAAGTATTAAAGACATGACTAGTATAGTAATATATATAATATATAATAATAATTACATGTAATGGAATTATTGAGATAATTTCCAGGAGATAGAATACGCAGGTGGAATATAAGGAGAAAAGTTGGTTTCAAGAAAATGGTTAGGCATTGGGTATTTTGTGTGTAAGGGGGTCTGCAGGATGTGTCCATAGAAATGTCTATATTAGGAAGCTGGATCCATCAGGAGCTCAGAGGAGCTGCAGGTGAGGCCATGGAAGTGATTCAGGCCTGCCAGGCACAGAATTGATGATGAGGCCCTGGGGGGAAGGGTCATGTGAAGGGTCAATGGGGAAAGAGATCCACAAAGAGAAAGAAGAATAGCAGAACACTTGGAAGAGACGTAGCAGAGGGTTGTGTCAACACAGAAGCTGAGAGGGTGCGTGATAACATTGCTTAAGAGGGATTTGAACACCGAATAAAAGGAGCATGATGTGAAATACACAGAGAAGTGAGCGCCGAAGCCCCTGCCTCATTGCTGGACAGTGGGGTTAAGTAGAAGCCGCACCCTATAGCGAGGTAGCGTTTTAAAAAAAAAAATGTGTGCACGTGCATGGGCGTGTACGCACACACACATACACAACCCTCACCTTGGCTTTTTAGATTCTTTAAGTAAAACAGAAGTCAAGAGGGAAAAGCATTCCGCTGAGAGGGAAATATTTGGCCGTAACAAAAACAGCCTATTAATCCAACAAATAAGGACTGAAAATGCACGCTGGCTTAGGAATAGGCCGTCGCTGCCGAGTGAGCGCCACGAGGGCTGAGGCAGGAGGTGTGGCTCTAAGGAAGGAAGGAGTGGTGGAGAAATAATTGAGGGGGTATTTCGAGAAGCTTGACTGCACAGTGAAGAAGAAAGCAGAGTGGTAGAGAGCAATATAGGGTCCTGAAAAAATTCGAGTCAAGGATTATTTGGGTTTTTGCAGTGTGTGTTTTTTGCCTTGCAGAACCCATAGGTCTTTTTTGTTGATTTCAGAAGTTTAGAAAGTTCTCGTTTGAACATCAAAACAGGTTATATACCGTGTTGATTTTTCTGGTGCATTATTTTTAAATTAATCCATTTGTAATTTATTTTGGTGTCAGAAGTGAAGACTCCATACCTTTTTTTCCAGTGATGTAGCTAATTGCTCTAATACTTGAATCCACTGATTTGAAGTATCAGTTTTTATGATATAGTAAAATCTCATGGACATCTGCCTCTCTTCTGTTTCGTACTGTGACTGCACTATCTTTGAACTGTTTCAGTTGCCATCATGTGATAATACACATTGGTTTCTCTCTGGTCCCACCTTAGCCTTTCTCGGAATGTCTCTCATCCTGTCAGTTCAAGAATCCCTCTTCATTATTTTACCTGTGTAGTTGTGTAGATTTCTTGAAAAACTTTAGCATCACCTTTCAGCTTAAAAAAAAAAAAAATCTATTGAGGATTATTAATTAAATTTGCATTAGATTTTGAAATTCTATTTTGGAGAAAATAACTGATGATTCCCCCAACTTCAGTCAGCCCAGTTAAGAGTATGGGACTTTCATCCATCCATTCATTTATCATTATTTGTTTTTATTTTTTTAGGCCGTTATCATATCAGTGTCAACATTTCTCACTAATTTATTCCTAAATAGTCTGAACTTTTATTGTTATTTTAAATGGCACCTTTTCTGTTTGGGCTATTTAACTGGGTTAATTACCAGTATAGTCCTAATTTCTGGCTTCTCTTGAATAACGAGGAGATTTGGCAACATTAGACCCTCATTCCGATGTGGCAACTGTGAGTAGTCCCTTTCATTAGCCTACGGACTTGCCAGTATGCCACAGTTGACTGTACCCACTCCATGCATTTCTATTCTTGCCTGGCCCCTGTGGGCAGATGAGTTCATGTAGGGGCAGGTGGTCCATAGACACAGTCAGCAGCACAGCACCAAGCACTAGTGTCAACATCTTTGACATCACCAGCTCTGGTCCTTGCCTGTCTTTCCTGAAGGTGATGGCTCCTGCCTGGCCTGAGGACCTACCAGATCTTTCCAGCCCTCTCTCTTCTTCTGCAACACACCCTGGCCTCTCAGACCAGAAGCACATGCCAATTCCTTCTAGCCACACATCCCTCCATAGTCTTGCCCTTTTTGGCCAGATTGGTCCCTGCCCCTTTTCTGAGCCATAGCTGTAAAGAGGCTGTAAATCTTCTACTCACAGCCTTATTTCCATATCTGTACTAGTTTACTTGAAAGTAAAAGTTTCTTTTAGATCTCTGGCCATCTCATTCCTAAACTTTACTACACACCGCCCCCCCTGCCATGGTACAGTTTACCCCAAATCTCTGATGTCTGTCTATAGTGATGCCATATAAATGACAGACAAGGAAGAAAAGAACTTCTAAGCCATCACTTGAATTTTTATTTACTGTGACCACATAGACTGCAACAATGTTAAGAGAAAAATTCCTAAAGAAGTATATTTTGCCTTATTAGGCCACTTTCAACACATACCTGTCTGCGATTTGTAATAATATTACAAATTCTCTGAATGCACTGCATTGCATTTGCAGACTCGGGGGGAACTCGCTCATTTGCCTGTTTCTAGCATATTTCCTCTAACATTCTCTAGCATATTTCCTCTAACATTCCCTAAACAGAGTTTTCCCAAAAGTCCATTTCTTATTTCTTTTTAACTTGTTAGATGCTTCCACAATATTCCTGGTTTGTTTGTTTTTTTTAACCCTAAATCACAAATCCTCTTCCAACATTCTATTATTTCCACAGAGAATGGATAATATACTTGGAGTGTCCCAACTTTACTGCCAGTGAATAACTTTAGTTGATTAAAGATTTTAAATATATGATTCCTACTCCGTGTATACATATGAAAGAAACCGGCTCTAACCAGTCTTCTTTCCAGACACTTCACCTTTGTCTTTGGTTCAGGTTCTTTCCCTGTTGAACATTGTTACTACCATGGATGTCTTTTCTCTTTGGGATTCAGTTTGTTGTTTGCCTTTGTCTTTATAAGAGTAAAGGAGAGTGTGTTGTCCTCCCATCCACCCACCGCTCCATGATGCGTGTCCATTCCATTGACAGTTATTCAGTTTGGGTTCGTCACCTTATTTGTGGCCTCTTTTCCACTGGCCCCCCTGTTGGCTCTGGTGAACAATATATTGGAAATAAGAGTGGACGCATGGAAAATGACTACCCAGTATAGACGCATGGTTCCAGAAAAAGCCCAAGACATCGGAGCGTGGCAGCCCATCATGCAAGGAATAGCAATTCTGGCTGTGGTGACCAATGTGAGTACACCTAGGCTTCCCAGGGTAAAGAGCTCGAGAAATCCAAAAATGCAGTAGTGTTGCTACCTAAAGAATCAAATGTTTGCTATATTTTTTTTTGAATGGGAGGGAGATGCCAATACTAATTTCTATGTAAAAACAGTTGTTATAACTGTGATTATTACTATTTTTTAATGTTCTTCATTGTTTATATTATTTGTGACTTATAAATCAAGACCTCTTACAGGAACAGTTGCTAAGAGTGACCATTATGCTATTATTGTTCATTTGCTAAAGGTTTTATTTAATAGAAACACAGTAATAGTAATAAGAGTAAGTACCAATTCTCTCTCACTATTATCCAATAGTGCTTTTATTTTTTTTTCCCCCAATAGTGCTTTTAAAACAGAGATAGTAATCTGTCCATTTGTAGTGGGAGGATGCTAAATTAAGAACTATCCTTCTATTTTACCATATATTCCATACTATTAACTGAAAATATTAACTATTTGATGATGGTGTATGTATAAGCAGTTTGCATTCCATTCACGTGTTACCTTCTTTTTCTCCTAGGGCAGAGGTTCTGTAGGGAGGGGGGCTTTAAAATGGGTCCCATCTCTCTTCTCCACCCCATCCTTGGCCTTTGCTCACCACTCACTGGTCATTAGCTAAGCAGCCTCATACCTTGTATGTGTCCCAGCTTGGGGGAACAGAACACAGTCCTTCATAACGGGTATAGGCTTTGGACCAATCTGAACAGTCACTACCCCCTACCTCCCCCTGCCTTCTCCCTCTCCCTTTTTTAAAACACAGGCCAAAAAGAGCTCTCAGGGAGAAAAAGTTCCATTCCAGCCCAATAGGGGAATGACCACCTTCCCTAGAAATATCCTTACAACTGGGGCTATTTCCTCCCTTATTTCACTAACCATTTTACTCTCAGGTCACAATCCCAACACGGTGATATCCGAGTTTTAATTTCTTTGTCAAGCCACACTTCCCCGGAGTCCGCAGCCTTTTCCCACAAGCACTTGTAGAAACAGAATTCAGCAAGTGCCTGTGGGTCAGGCTCTTGGTCAGGTTCAGCACTGCGGACACAGGTCAGACCCAAAGTCCAGCTCTCACTGCGGTAGCTTCCCAGCTGCATGACCTTGGGCCAGACCTTAACACTGGAGAGCTTCAGTTTATCATTTGTAGATTGAATAATTCCTTGCTGCATATTTTAAGACTATTATATACCATAAAGAGTAACCAGGGACTTCAGGGAGTTAATGCATGGAGCCTGGTCCTCATGCAGTGTTAGCTATTGTTATTCTCTTCATCACCCATCATCAGTAACAGTGACTGTGTAGACTTTGACAGGTATCTAAACTAAAGGCACAAGATTTTTACAATGTGTCACTGAGCTGTGGTTACAGTTTTACACAATCAAGCCAATTTTCTGGAACCCAGCTGTCACCCCCTGCCAAGAACCCTCAAGTTATCCAAATCGTATGCTATCCCTGCTTTCTGAAGAAAGTTGCAAATTGCACACAAAAGACAACTGCTAGGTTATATCATTTTCCATTTACCCAAGTAACCCACACCTTCCACATCCCCTGTGCTACGAAATGAAGACTGATGTGCAGAAATAGGACAGTGAGGCTTTTCAAGTTCTACAGTCATAAAAGAATGAGTCTGTCACATTCAGGATGCTGTACGGCACGAAGCAAGGTAGGAATGTGGACCTGGCACTTTAGGAATATTTAAGCAACAAGGTTTGAAACTTAAAGGGTTTTTGTTTGAACTTCAGCTAACCGGAAACTTCAGATGATTTGTACTCCCCATTCCCAGGACTCTGGTTTGATTGTTGTAGGCACCTTCTCCTGATATCCCCAGCAGGGCTCCACTCCATTGGCACAAATGGGGTATTTGCTGTGTTTCTAAGGCTACCGTGTTGGGGGGTGTGTGGGTGTGTAAACAGGTACCTGCGTGCTTGCTAATTGGTGCTTATCCAGTAGTAGTTTTTTCTCATAACTTAGGCATCGTTTTATTATACCCTAGGAAAACTGCTTTTTAGATCATACCCTAGGAAAACTGCTTTTTAGATCATTGAACTACAGACCATCCTTTTCCCCATATTATTAGGATTCGGTCCAGCTTCCAGGCTGCAGGTCCTGTTGCATGTTTGTGTGTCTGTAGGAATGGCCCATGTATATCATTCCCTCCTATACCTAATGTAGGCCTCTACCATCTACTGGGCACAGAGAGGGCTAACTTTCCTTAATAGGAGAACTTTCAACTATAGGAGAAAAAGAATAGCCACCAGGGATGAAAATGGACATCAAGCAAGAGTTCGGTATGAAATCATTCATCTTCCAGCAGCTCGTACAATAATAGACTGAATTGACAGGTTGTATCAGGCCACAGTATCTGCCATTGAAGACCGATTTTAATTTATTTTGACAGAAATGGAAAAGCAGCACACCGCATTTACTTGCACTTTTGCAGTGTGTCTCAAAGCAGCTCAGTTCAGGAGGAACAAGGGTCTTGTCAGAAGACAAGAGAATTCTCTTCCTTGTTGGAATGTTTGTAGCTTCTGGAACACATCTGCAGGTGATTCTGTAAAAAGCTATAGTTAAATAACAGGAAATGTTAAACTATTGAAATCTGGAAAAAGTAAAATATTCTTGTCCTACATCCCTCCCCAACCCCACCCAGAGGCAAACAGACACACATACGTCAGAGGAAATGACAAAGCTGGTTCTATTAGGGGGAGTAATTTTGCAATAGGAAAGCCCCCTTTGTTGTTTTTCTTGCTCTGCTGAGATCTTGTTTGTTGACTTGTGGTCTCACTGCATCTAAACCATATGTTTAGATGAACACTATTAAAAATCATGTTGTGCCAAAAACATGTCTTTCTGCTTCAGTAAATGAATCATTTAGTTTGTTTGTTCACATAGAATTTGGGTTAAAGTATATTCCTTACGTTCTCCCTCTTTCAAACCAATTTTATACATTGGAGAGTTGAAAGCCCAAATTAAAGAATTTTAGAGAAAAATTCATGTACTTCATAATACCCTTCTATCCTGATAGAGGGCTGCCTGACACAGACTCAGGTTTAAAACTGATCTTAATTTATTCCTTTAATCTTGGAACACGCTAGACTTTCTTCAGTTAGTCTTTCTGAAGTTTAGAGGCTTAGACACGAAGTCCATTAAAACGGGCATACACTTGACCATATGAATGGTGCAACCCCAAGAGTTTCTTGCTACCTACATTTTAAAATTAATAACAAATGTTTGCTCTCTAATGAAGCAACATATGTAAGTATATACTGACGGTTTAGAATCGGACTGTGGGTTGATGTGAATAAGTCAAGATACTCTAGGGGAAAAAAGTATGAATTTGAAGGCCCTTATTAGATTAAGGAAAATCTATTTTATGCAATTTATAATTTATAAAAATAGAGTTAATTTTAAGAGGCTAGTGATTTAAAAATGAGTTTTATATCAATTGTAAACTCTACAAAGGAATTATGTAAGGCCACATTATTTTTGTAATACTGACCCTAATATTACTTAGACAAAAGGGCCTTCTCAATCATAAAAGAAAGATTAAAATTATATCAAGTAGAGTTTCAAGGTTGAGTTGTATAATATTCTAATTTTTGGAAACCTAATTTATATGCAACATATGCAAGCAACTTGAGTTAATCCAGGATACCCTGGTCTACAATTACTGTTACTGTACTTAAGACACCTAAGAGGCAACTTGCAGACCTTTGCTTTTCGACTACAGATGGACTTCTGGACAGCCCTTATGTGAACTGAAGACCAAGAGGAAGTAACTATCCTTTAAAGCATTGCTCAAAGACTTTAGGACGCTGGCTATCTATATCCATTTGACGGTTAGGAAAGGATTAAAGTTTCTGAATCTTTCATTTAAAAAAAAAATCAACCAATGAACACACAATTCTGGTGTGTTTGTTAACCATAGCTATAGAGGCTCTAAATTAACAACCCCCTTCTTGTGTTCCTCCCCAAACAGGCCATGATTATTGCTTTCACATCTGACATGATCCCCCGCCTGGTGTATTACTGGTCCTTCTCCGTCCCTCCATATGGCAACCACACCCATTACACCATGGAAGGATACATTAACAGTACTCTCTCCATCTTCAACGTCTCAGACTTCAAAAACCAAAGCAAGGGAAATCCAGACCCTAAGGCTGTTATCCCTACCACATGCAGGCAAGTTCTGCTTATATGTTTAAAAATGTACTTCCTCTTTTAAAGGACTTTTATTGTCATGTAATTCTAAATAAAACTGGTGGAGACATTCCTCACCACCACCCCCTGCTCCAGGTTTCTTTTCAGCCAAACTTAATACAGGCTGGGGTCAGAATTTACCAATCAGAACATAAAGCATCATTTAAAGATGGGAGTTTCAAATGAGCACAGGGAAACTGACCCAGGAGAAGAGTCTTGTTTGTATTTTAGAAAGGAAGAAACTCAAGGAGTTCCCAAAAACAAGTCAATTCAGTTGTAATGACTAATCTGTTATTCAAGCACAAGCTGATGTGCTGAGTGACAACAAAGCAGCACTCTCACTCCAAGAAATAAAAAAATGAGAAATGTGAAGACTTCGTGCTCACCTAGCAGCATTCTCGAAAGCATTCCATGAGGCCTCTCTGCATTGATTGTGGTGGCTGGTGAGGTCAGCTGTGGACAATAAACAAGTAAATCACTACTTGATAAAGTTTGTGGACTACGGGTCCTAAAGTTTTTTTTTGTTTTGTTTTGTTTTGTTTTGTTTTTAATTCAGTGTCTTAACCCTAAAGGAGGATTTTAAATCTCATTTAGTTCAACTCCTCAAACCCTTCTCTGGTTCAGAGTCTCAGCAGCACAACCAAGAAACCAGAAATAAGCCCTAAATAAATGTTTTTAGAGCCTCTTCAGAATCCCATATCAAATCTTCTTACTCTTACTTGACGTCATTCTAAAGAGTAGTTAAACTCTTCCAGGTCTAAAAGGTTACAGGCAGAAAATTTGAGATGTGCTACCTGAGGGCAATTGACTAACAGCAGTAGCTCCTGACCTCTAAAAAGGAAATTAGGTTGATTATATTACAACAAGCAATCGGGCATTCCTCTCTAGAGGGAGAGGTAGCCCACAGCTGAGGGAAGCCTGCTGATACCACAAGATAAATTTATAATCCTGTTTGTGAAAATACACCACATCGTTTTAGTTTTATACTCTTTTGAGAAAGCAGGAATAAAACTCTGACAAAAAATTTTTTAAATACTTTCCTTTTTACACATATGGTGTATGACATTACCATCATCTTCCTATTTTATGTTAAGTATTACTGGACTCATTATTTCAGGATTTTGTAGCCAAATTAAACTCTTGGAGAAAATTTATAGGATGTCCAGTTTGAAAAAGCAGTGCATTAATTAGGACCTCTTTTGAAAGGGGTCCTTGCTTTCACTACTTAATCAAAAAGAACCTCCTGATATCCCTGTTTTACTTTTCAGGTATCGTGATTTCCGGAACCCACCTGGACACGAACAGCAGTATAAACACAACATCTACTACTGGCACGTGATCGCAGCCAAGCTGGCTTTCATCATTGTCATGGAGGTAAAAGAAGTATATTTTGAAAGAGCTGATACGGCAGTATGTTTGCAGACCTTTCATTAGCATTAAGTATTGCCAACTCGGACTTAAAATACATTCTTTTCTCTTGCTAGCAATTATTTTAGGACATCTATTAATGAAATTTAACAGGCGAACACCCATAAGGCTCTCATTAATGAAATGAAATCAGTTATCTGCTTGAAAAGGTGAAAGCATTTTGTGTGCTAGGGGGATTCGGTGCCACTCACTGCAGTATTGATTGCCCTTTTTAAAAATTTGGGGGTGCTGGGCTGCATTCTAGACCACGAAGGGGCTTATTGAAGACGACTAAGATGTGATCTCTGCCCATGAGGAATTTTATTGCTGTCATAGTTTTATTTGTACTACTATTAAGTATTTTTATTACATTTTCATAATCTACCTCTTAGAATAGTCTTTTTATATCCCTAAAATTAACCAGCTCTTAAAATGACTGAGGAAGCAATAAATTTGAAATCGACCTAAGCAACTTTACTTCTGACGCAGAGGGAATAACCACTACCGAACTGTGAAGGCTCAGAAGTTGCTTGATGGGTGTGGTCCCAGTTAGGGTAACTCTTAAAGGTTGATTTTTCTCATATAGCATAGTAGGTGGTGGCTCCTGAATCAAGACCAGCTCGCTGACGGGGACAGGATCTCTGACTCTCTGGCACTTGCACTCGCGTGCGCGCTCTCTCTCTCTCTCAGCATGTCGTGTGTGTGGCTGCAGGGTGAGAGCTGCAAGTCCCAGTGGAACACGAACAGGGTCTAGACAGTAAGGAGGAAGAAAAGGGACGCTCTCCATATCTGTTCCTTTTTGTCAGGAGAGAAAATGCTTTGCCAGAAGCCTCCAGGGCACACAGCTCCTCCAAGCAACAGAGTAGGCTGAGATGGGACGTGTTGGGTTTGCTCTGAACAAAATGAGGATCTGTTAGCAAGAAAAAAGCCGGATAGGCTGCGTGGCTTTGATCATTTTTCTAATTTGGTATTTACTAAAAAAAAAAAAAAAAAAAAAAAACAAATAAACACAACATTAACAGCAGAGGAAACAAGTTGTCATTTAGCTCCCCATCATCGGAGGATTCCTGGAGTATCTGCTACATCAGCAAGAATCACTAGTTTATATTCAGATATGTAGTGGTCAAAGTGTTTTGACTTCTGCTTCTGAAATCATGGCTGACTAGATACTCTGAAGGACATTTCACTACAAAACATTCACAGTCAGCTTAAAGTAGAATTTCCTTTGCATTTTTGAGCTCAGTGAAAGGGATGAGAATCTACAAAGAGGGACAGAAAGGTGATGGCTCAGCTGGAGCAGTGAGCACCCCCTGAGGCACAGGGGCCTCTGAGGACGCCCCGGGGTGGGGGATGGTCATCAGCTCCTCGCTCTAGAGTCTCAAGGGCGCCAAGCAGCGGGTCAGCCCCAAGGTGGACCAGCTAAAGTTGAGACTCTTGGATTCAGCCAGGACCCCCACAAAGAGCTAAATTTGTCTCAGAGCAGAAGGAAATGCATATATTCCCTGGAGAAAAGAATGTCCTCCGTTTAGACCACATTTTTCTCTCAGATTGAAATAATCAGATATGAGCTTCCAAAGATGAACAATAATAACATGGGGAAATGAGAAAAACCACAAGTGAGATTCAGAGGGAAGAAAATAATAATTTGGATCCTCAATAACTTAAAGAGTATGCATTATCACATTAGGAATTATAAATTAAAATGTGTATGAATATGTTTAAACAAAAAATGATTGACAAATGAGCAAACAATAAGAAACTAAAAAATTACAAGGTAATCTTGAAAAATACATAGTTGAAATGAAAAAGCATATGGATTAAACAGAAGTCTGAAGCAAGAATGAATGAATTGAGAGGTCTGAAAAAAATTACTCCCAGCACATCACAGGGAGAGAAGAAAATGGAAAATGTGAAAAAGAGATTAAGCAGTTTTTTAAAAATCCACAGAAGGAAAAAAAAGGAGGAGAGACAATATTTAAAGAATTAATGGCTAAAATTCTTCCCAAAGAAATGAAAGGGATCTGTTCACAGAACAGAAAGCACAGCAAACATCAGGCAGAATAAAGAAATCCAGGCTTACAGAGATTGTAACAAAAGTGCAGCTCGTTGAAGATAAGATCTTAAAAGCAACCAGAGAAAAAGGACAGATGACTGATAAAATTGAAATGAGAGTAGACTTTAACAGCAGCATGGAAGCCAGAAGCAAGTAGTCAAATATCTTCTAAAATGCTAAAGAAGGGAACTATAAACCTAGAATTGAAATTTTGAGTAATTGAAAAATCTTTCCATAAAGAAAATGCCAGCCCATATGATTTTGTAGGAGAATGATGCCAGTTTCTAGAAGTATACTTTCAGATCATTTTAGTTACCTCCAGAGACCAGAAAAAGAAACACTCTCCAACTCCTTTTAGATCCTTAAATCAGACAGGAATAGGAAGAGGAAAATTATAATCCAGTCTCCTTTGTTGCACTGATGCAAGGATCTTTTTAAAATGTGCCGATTGAATCTAGCAATATATTTTTTAAAGATGACATCAGGCCACATTGGTTTACCCCAGAAATGCAAGGGTAGCATAATACAGAAAGTCCACATCTATAAATATAGATGGGGAAAAAAAAAAGAACCTCTCCTTCCTACATCATCAGCTTTTGCCCCTTTACTCTATAATTTCCATCTTTCAGACACACTCTTATCTCACATATTCTCCACTCTCCCATTACCTGACTAATCAGAAGCCTTTGACACAGCTGATCACTCTCTCCTTCTTGAAGTTCCTCCTCAGTTGGCTCCCAGGAAAACTTTTTTTTTTTTTCCCCTTTTCCTCTTATCTCACTAGGCCATCCCTTCATAATTTCTTTAGTCCCTTCCTTCTCTTTCTTTTCTCTCTCCTCACAGCCTTTGAGACCTCACGCAGTCCGTTGGCTTTAAATGCCATGTATATGCCAGTGACTCAACGATATATGTATCTCCAGAACCCCTCTCTCCTGAACTCAACCCACGAATCCAATGTCTACTTGACCTTTCTGCTGGGATAGCTAACAGATACATCTACCGCCCCAAATGCCCATATTTTCTTCAGTCCACCTGGAATGTTCTCCTCTCCATACTGCCCTAAATGTTCCACCCACAGTGGGTCTGCCCCCTCTCAGTCATGGCATTTGTAGCTACCTCACTGGTTGTTAAGAATTTCGCCCTTAAGAGTCCCCCACTTTCCCCACATGCAATGCTGCTGGCTTTCTTTGGACAGTCCATTGCAGATCTGACCATTACCAACTCTGCTTCTATAACTGGGTTGGAGCCACCATCATTTCTCGCCTGAATTAGGGCTGTGGGCTCCTAAATAGGCTCTCTGCTGCCTTCACATCTCACTCAGAGTAAAAGCCAGAGTCCTTTCAGTGCTGTGCAAGGCCTGACACACTCTAGCCATGCTCGGTTACCTCTCTCTGTCGTCCCTCACATCCCTCCACCCCTGCTGTTCCTGATGCACAGCCAGCAGGCTTCCACCACACAGACTCTGTACTGACTGTTCCCTCTGCCTCGCATGCCTTTCCTCCTGATGTCTGCATGGCTAGGTCCCTCACCTCCTCAAAGCCTTGGCAAAGTGAGGCATACCCAGTCTGATCTGTACAAAATCCATCTGAAATTGGCCTCCCACGTTAACACAAAAACTCCTACTCTGCTTTACTGCTTTCTCCACGCACTTATCACGTGAACACCATGTACAATTTATTTTTAATGATGTTCATTGTATGTTATATATTTCCTCGGTAGGTCAGAGACTTTGGCATAAGGAACAAATAAAAACTTGTTCAGTATCGTTAATCATCAGAAACTTAAGACTAAAATGAAAGTGCATTTTATAATCACTATGTTGGTGAGAAAAAAAACGATGACCACACATGCTGGCAAGAATGCAGAGCCCCTGAAACCATCATGCGCTGCTGGTGGAGGTGGAAGCTGGATTAACTACTTTGGAAAAGACTTTGGTACCATCTTGGAAATTTGAATATTCATTTAACAGACTCTTTCCAGTTCCACTTCTAGGTCATCGCCTTGAGAAACTCTCACAGATGTCCTCCAGAATCCAAATGCAAAAACATTCTTAACATCATTGTTTCTAATAGAAACACTAGAAACAAGCCCAGTACATTTTGATGGGGGAATCGACAGGAGACTCTTACACAGAATTATGAACAAACTGTAGTTACGCACAATAACATGGATAGATTAGAAACTAGTTTTGAATGCAAATGTCATTTTTAGGGGTGCGTGGGTGGCACAGTTCAGCATCCAACTCTTGGTTTAAGCTCAAGTCGTGATCTTGAGGTCATGGGATGGAGCCCCGTGTTGGGCTCTGTCCTCAGTGAAGAGTCTGCTTGAGATTCTCTCTCCCTTTCCCTCTACCCCTTCCTGCTCATGTGCACTCTTTTTCTCTCTAGTAAATAAATCTTTTAAAGTAATTTTCAAAAGACCATATACAGTATCCTATTTTTTATAAAGCCCAAATCAAGGGGGACTAAACAATATATTATTTGGGGCTATATACATATTTTGTTAAACAGGTTCTCAAAAATAAAATGATACAGATAGACTCACACAGATAGGATTTAGTTAGTGCTAATCTTTGGGGGAAGAGGCCTGGAAATGAGATAGGAAAGGAACACACACAAAAATACTATAGCATTGTCAGGGTGAGTGTTAGTGTTCTTGAAATTGTCAAAGCAACAAAATGTAGCTCTTTGGCAGAGCCACATGGTGTAGGAGAGACTGGTTGTGTATGGAGAATACTCACCACTTTTTCCAGATCTATTGCTGGGATGACCAAGCAAAAAAACAACAAAAAACAAAACAAAAAAACACAAAAACGAAAAGAGCTCTGTGTTCCCCACCATTTCCTTGTGATTGACATTTTTCTTCTTCTCTCCCACAGCATCTCATCTACTCTGTGAAATTCTTTGTATCCTATGCCATCCCAGATGTATCCAAAAGCACGAAGAGCAAGATCAAGAGAGAAAAATACTTAACCCAAAAGCTTCTTCGGGAGAATCACCTCAAAGATATGACAAAAAATATGGGGGTCATAGCTGAGAGGATGGGGGCAGTGGTAGAGAACAATTTACGACCAAAATTAGAATAAGAGCTTTATGTTCTGAGAAGCATTTTACAGAATTTAACTCTGTCAAAATATATTATGAATCACTAATGAGAATGTTTAAGTTAAAACACTTTGGCAAATGGGTGTCTTCACTATTGCCATTTTCATAGAGATTATTTTTCAGTTTCAGCCTGCCATGCAGGACCTGGGAAATGCAAAATTTAGATCAAGAAGTGCATAAAACTAATCACCTGGAAAGCCAGAAATGTTACCCTTTTTTGATAAATTGGAATTTCTGTAACACAAAGTATCTCGCAGTGTGCTTAAAAACCACCTCTTCCAAAGCTGAATGGATTTTTGTCCTTCCGTTTGATTATTTTCATTCTTTCTTTTCTCAAGCACATGCTCCCCTTTTAGGCGGTGTTTCACTTCTTCACGTGGCCAGATCGATCCCAGAGTTCTTTTCCTTACAGTACTTTCGTTAAAGACTAGACGTACTAGCTTTTGTGTGATTAAAAATAGCTAACTCAGAATTCAGTTTGAATGTTGTATTCAGCGGCAAATAGACCCAAGAATTCACAATATTTAGGTGTATTAGCACATCCCTACAGAAAATGAAACCGCACTTAATGAGAGGAAATAGTTTCCGTCTTCATTCTGGCCTATCTTTCCATCGCAAAGAAATACTCTTAATGGATTGGAATAAAGATAGCAGGGTCCTGAAGTGTATTTGGACTAATCCACAGTGACACCTTTTATCTTCCAGGAACACTCCTGGAATCCTCTGTGCCTAATCAGTGTTGACTGCTTTGCAAATCTCAAGGGAGTAAGATGACAAAAGTGGGGAAAGGTACAGATTCAAATAGAATTGGAACTCCTATTGATCAGGATAATTAATTTACCTCTTCTAAAGATAGGTGGTTTCTTGAAAAAAAAAATGAAATCAAGGGATTAAAATTACATTTTTATCAATGTAAGGGTCTGGAAAGATAAGCCCATCCCTTTCCCAGCAGTTGCCCTGTAGCCATCAGATCAGCTCACTGGCACCCCTGGGAATGGCTCACTGCCCAGCCTGCCCAACAGGACGGTGCTGTACAGCTTGAGAGAACAGCAGGTGCCCTCACTGTGAGTCCCCATGGGGAGTGCCTTTCCAGCAGGGGTCCTGCCTATCCAAGTGATCAACATACCAAAGCATCTGCCATGGTCAAGGTGCTTCCCTACATCCTCCATTCCCTCAGTCCCAGCCCAGAACTTGTTAACTTGCGTGCACTGGGGTGGGGGTTGTGGGGGGTGGGTAGTAGTCAGGGGAGAGGAGAGAGACAGGGGCAGACCCAGATCACTCCCGATCCAGAAAAGAGACTCTGGTCTGGATGTGAGCCTCCCTAAAGCCACAGTCTGGTCACAACCCCTGCCGTCCGCCGGAGGTAACTTCCTGCTGAACGCCCGCGCTGCGCACATCTTGCCTTCAGTTTGTCCGCTCAGCAGCCTTTACTGTGCTTGACCGCCTTTCAGGTGCAAAGCCCTCCCGGGGCCCGCACTGCTCTCGCTTGACTGGTACCAGGGCAGCGCTGGGTGGGGGAGAGGGTGTCTGGCACTGGGTTCTTGCGAGGTGGGCCGCCACCCACTGCGGTGCTGCTAAACGCCCAGGGGCCAAGCCACTCAGAATCCCAGCGGCAGAGGGAAAGGAAAGCCATTCCCTGAGCGGCTTCAGAGGCTTGTGGTTAAGAGCAGCTTGACTCAAGGTCACCGTTCTAAATGCATGCCATGAAGGTTTGAAAAACAAAAATAGTATGTGTGGAGGATCCATCGGAGCAGGGCTCTGGACTTCTGAATTGGCCCAGTGGATCAGGGACAACATTTCACTAACCTTCTTGGTCACATGAACAATGGGAACAGAGCATTCCCAGCAAGCCACGGGAGCTCTGACCACCCAGGGAGTAAGAAAGGCATTTCTTTGCTGCCGCTCCTTCCTCACAGCCCAGACTGGGTGCATCTGGTCCCTCCCCTGCTCACCTGGCAGTGGGGCCGCTTCTTTTGCTCTTACCTTTGCTCTTCTCCAAAGCCGAGGACTATCTCCTCATGTTGGATTGCGCGAGTACTCACCATTTAGGGGAGCACAGAAAAGGAAATGTTCTTGCCTTATCTCCTTGTATATACGATAAAACTTTAAAAGAGTTGTGCATTTACGTCTTCATAAATCATCTTTCATCAATCATTCATAGGTTAAAATGTGCTTTTGTGGACAGGAGTAGGGGAAAGCTCTATATTTTTAAAGGCAAAAAATCGGATGTATGACACTGCCAGTATTCCCCAAACAGCGACGTGCGGGGAGCCAGGGTCACCTGGGACAGCGACAGTGTTAATGTAACTCCAGTGCGGACTTGTCCACTGCGAAGAAAAATGTGGGGCTGCGTCTGCAGGCAGGCACGGGCTGGATCTGTAAATGTGAGCAGAAGCAGCACCCCAGGAAAAAGGGTGGGTGTGACCGTGCCCCCATGAAAGGAAAATCTGGCCCTCCACCTGCCCGGTATTAACCACTAGAGAACTTTGAGTTTTGTATTCTTTTGTAATGCCTGTGAATTTTAACAGATTGAAGCATTAGACCAAAATACTCAGGGGATTTTTCCTTAAATATCCCTCAGATATTTCGGATGTGTCAATAGATAGGGAACGCTATCATTTTTGTTTGAAAACTCAATACGGCCATCTTGTAAACTGTCACCAAACGCCTTCCCTTTTAATTACCCATGCGTGCATCTTGAATTTCAGAAAACATTAGTTCACAATGGGGGACAGAACGTGCTCTGTTATTGAAACACTTCTTGTACCATTTTCTCATTGTGCAGAAGATGTTTGAAAAGTTAAAATGTATGAGCAGCTTAACTAAAGTAGATCAGAAATATTCATGATGCTTTCATACACTGTGGCATAAGATGTAAAGTTTGTAATGTTTTGTGAATTTCTGTGCATTTTAATATTCTTTTATAATTATGAGCATTTTAATAAATTCATTTTTCAAAACAACACTGGTCTCTATATTTGTCTTCATGTTTTTAAGGAGAGTATACATTTATATATAAAAATGTAATATATATACACACATATATATCCACTATTTATCAGTTATGTTATCACCCAGATAACAAATGTGTGCTTTTATGTAGATGATATCTAAAATTATATTTTTCACCACCTACACTTACTTTGAAACATGATTTTTCTGGGAAAAACTGGATGTGGAGTTTCAGCCAGGGCTGCTAAAAACCAGTTGCTGGGATTGAGCAAGCCCTGCCAAGGGCACCAAGCCCGGAGAGCAGGTGGGAGCTGAGAACCAGCTCCCCTCTGGCACCCCCACACTGTGGTGCGCCAGAGCCAGGCTGCATCCGCGAGGAGGAAGAGGCACTTTTCTACAACTGCATAAAGTTGGCTTCTGCATGCTAAACATGATTGCAGGGGGCAGTGCCACCAGAGAGGGCAAGTCTCTAATAATCCCAGAAAGGCTCTGTTTGAACCTGTTGCGGCACTGGGTACAGAAAGGGGAAATTATGGAGAAGAAAAGAAGGGAAAATGTCATCATAAAAATCAACCTTTTTATCCTGCACAACATATACAGATTTTAACTTTTTCTGTTTTATTGGAGGGAAGTATTTGTTTTCTGGTTTTTGGTTTGGTTTCATTTGGTTTTGATTTTTGCCAACTTAAATCTCATTAGGCTTCCAAGAAAACTCTAAATCAAATATAATCCATAACCGGACCAACAAGAAGCCTTTTCTTACACTTACGTGATATCCTTGGGACCAGTACTAATGTTATTTTTACTCTCAAGCCTTTTAAGTCCAGCAAAGGACTGATCAGAATTTCATTTCATTTTTTATTTTTTTTTTTTTGTTTATAAATTTTTTTTAAAAGATTTTATTTATTTAACAGGGCAAAAGAGAGAGAGTACACAAGCAGCAGGAACAGCAGGCAGAGGGAGAAGCAGGCTTCCCACTGAGCAGGAAGCCCGATGTGGGACTCAATCCCAGGACCCTGGGATCATGACCTGAGCCTTTTCTTAAGCTAAGTACCATCTCCCATTTGCAGGGAATGATGAGATCATAAATACAGTTGACCCTACAATAACACCTGTTTGAATGTCACAGGTCCACTTATATGCAGATTTCTTTTTTTAAGATTTTATTAGAGCACACACAGCAGGGGGAGGAGCAGAGGGAGGACAAGACTCCACGCTGAGCAGAGAGCCTGATGCAGGGCTCCACCTCAGGACCCTGAGATCATGACCAAACCTGAAATCAAGAGTCCATCACTAAACCAACTGAGCCACCCATGTGCCTCTCCACAGATTTTTTTAAGATTTTTATTTATTCAACAGAGAAAGATCACAAGTAGGCAGAGAGTCAGGTAGAGGGGGAGGGCGAAGCAGGCTCCCCGCTGAGCAGAGAACCTGATTGTGGGCTCGATCCCATGACCCTGAGATCATGACCTGGGCCAAAGGCAGAGGCTTTAACCCACTGAGCAACCCAGGCACCCCTAGTTTTTTTTTAATAATAAAATTTTAATAAATACATACAGTACTATAAATGTATTTTCACTTCCTTAGGATTTTAACATTTTCTTTTCTCTAGCTTACTTTTTTTTGTAAGAATAGAGTATAAAATATACAAAATATATGTTCATTGGACTTCATCTTCTGGTCTAAGATAGCAATGAAGGAAGACCCTGAGCTCCCCTTTTCCACAGACACACCAAACTAACACCTATTTATACAGCAATTCCTCCTGAAGAACTGAGGACTGACCAAACCACTTCGGCACAATGAAAGACCACAGAGGGAATAGCAAGAGACACAGACAAGGTAACAAAGGAAACCCCCACCCCCATTGCAAACTGCATTGAGAGGAGCGATAATTCAGAGGGATCATGAGCAAATTCATCTGCCCTTGAACACAGGAAAGAGGCCACTGTTTACAAAGTCAACAAGAATATATAGGAACCAGTCCTAGAACCCTGTCAAATGGGAGGCAAGATCCTGGAACTCACTCCACGTCAGAAGGGCTGGTGAGCCCCATACTTTGCATTTACACTTTACCTTGATAGCACAGACAAAAGCAGGCTCAGGGTGTCAAAGCCAGCCTTAGCAAGGCCTGGACCCCTAGCCCACACCAGCCTCAAATGCCCCCAGGGAACAGGGGAAAAAAAAAAAAGACCAAAAACCCCCCAAAAAACAAACAAAACAAATACAAACAAACCCATGGCTTAAAGCAACTAGAATATTAAGGATCCTGCCCTAGAATTCTGCCGAATGGCAGAGGAGCTGCTGAAACTCTCTCCAGGTTGGAGGGGCTGGATTACCTTCCTTCTCCACCTGGCAATGTGGACAGGAGCAGGGTCTGGGTATACTAGCAAGCCTACCACCCAGTGAGCCCCAAGCCCACACTAGCCCCATCTGTCCCACCAAAGTGGTCCCCTGCTTGAAGCACACCAGGACACCCCTGCTCAGCACTCACTGTAGCTCCAGCCATCTCACCAAAGTGATACAGGTGCAAGAACACTCCCAGTTCATACCACTTTGGCTCTAGATGACTTGCCAGGACATCCCAGCTCTCACTTTGGCTCCAGTTTACCAGAGCTCCCTTTGTGTGGAGAGCCCTGGGGATTCCCCTCCACAACCATGCTTTAACCACAATGCCAGAAAGCCCCTGCACCCCAGAACAGCCCAGCCTACACCCACCCTGGCTCTAGCTGCCCAGCTATGGCACCTTCTACAGGCAGCATCCCAGAACACCCTGGCTTATACCAACTTCAGCTTCACCTATTCTGCTGGGGCGTTCTCTGTGCAGAGAGCCCCAGGACACCCCAGCTCGTACCTAATTCATCTTCAGCTGTCTTGCCAGTGTGCCCTTTTCACAGAGAGTCCTTGGACCCTCCAGTTTGCACG